AGAGAGCGGCGAGGGCGGCGACCACAGTGCGCAAGGCATCAGCCACGAGCCAGCAACGGCGGCATCACACCCCCTGCCTGCCTACCTGCGCCTGTTGCCCGACACCCAGAGTTGGCAGCCGCCAGTCACCCTGCTTGAGCAGCTGCGCTTTGTGGCAAGTTTGTCACCCCAGGCGCCTGCTGTTCATGGTAGCGGGGGCAAGCCCATGCTCAGCATAGCCATGCAATCAGCTTCCAAGATGGCGGCGAAGATTCGCCTGGCGTCATTCTATGTGAGTCGCGCTGCGGGCTGCCTGAGGAATCAAGTGACGTCTGGCTCCCCTGACCCTCCATCTGCCACACGCGCCCGCTGCTCCCTGGCCCGGGTATCTTCCGCGCTATGCTTAGCGTTTCGATTCCGACCCTGGCTTCTCTACATGCTTGTTTTGCACCCGGACGTTCATGTTGCCCATCTGCCGCAGATGAGTGTCTTGTCTGAAGTCCATACCATAACGGGCCGCATGGTGGAGCGCCTGGTGGAGGCCACTGATGATGCTAACACCGGCTTGCGCGCCCTTTCACTCTGGGTGGATAAGGTGGGGCTTTGCAGCTGCACGCCGAATGCTTGCTCACTCATTGTGCCCAATCTTACACATCTGCACACATCCGCGCAGCTGCTGTCGGGGTGCTGTGTTTCGGCGGCGCAGCACACGTTCCACTGGCACGCCTGCCCACCACTGCCCACCACGCCTGCCCAGTGGCCTGAGCTGATAGGACTCTGCATCGAGGCACGACTGCCCACCCCTCCCTTCTTCTCCACCCCGCTCTGCCTGCAGTTCGTGCCTGGCTTGCCGTTGGCGCCCCCCCGTGGCTGCCTCGACAGGCTGGAGGCAGTACCGAGGCTGCTGGCGGAGGCCAGCGCCGCATCCCTACATGCCTCAATGTGCCAAGACGGCGCCATGTATAAACAGAGCCAGAATATTCTGGCAGACTCGCAGCGGCAACTGCTTGTGGCCCGTGCCAGGCTGGCCGCCACATGCAGCAAGCAGGAGCATCAGCGCTGCCAGGTATGCAGCATGCCGCCCGCACCGCATGCCCGCGTATGCCTCCCTGCCAGCACACTGAATGTGTCATGTGCGTGTGTTGCTGCTGAGCGGTTGGTGCATTTGTCCCCAAGGCACGTGCTGTGCTGCCGTCTGTGTTTGACCTGAGAAATGACGAACCCCATCATCCCACCCTATGCTTGTCATGAACCTGTCCTGCCCACCCACACAAGCCCACCTGCCCAGCTCACCTGCGCAGCCCATCCATCCACTTTGCCTGCAGGCATGGGTGGATGATCTGGTGGCCTTGGAGCACAGCCAACAGCAGAACCTGGACCACCTGCATGACATCAGGAGGCAGGCAGAGGCGCAGGCCGCAGGCAAGTATGGGCAGCCACCCGGAGACCCCCAGCACGCGGCCGTGGTGGCGCAGGCGGCCGCGGCATCTCTCCTTGTGCCCCCTCCCCTCCCCCCCGCCACGGCAACACGGGCAACAGCGTGCCTCCTAGGGACCCAGGCTGCCCAACGCTACCTGCATGAGAAGCGCCTTTGTTCAGTAAACTGCCATGCTTGCAGATGGAATTGCTCAGGCGAAGGTAGCCGTGCAGGAGGCTAGTGAGGCGGTGCAACAAATGATGGAGGCACGCAGAGCAGGGTCTTTGGCGGCGGCTCAGCACAGGGAGTAAGCCGTACAGCCTGGCAGCGTGTGTGTTTGCGCCCGCTCTTGTGTGCTTGCCAGCGGGTGCGTAGGTGTTGTGTTTTGAGGGGCGCACATGGCGCGGTGAGGGAATGCACACCAGCACTATGTTCTGTGTCTCAGCCTGACTGGCATGGTTATGATAGGAGCATGTTGCTCTTTTGCTCTGCCTGCAGCGAGACGCTGGCGGAGGCGGGGAAGACTGCGATGCAGCGAGTTATGTGGCTAGAGGTGAGACACCAGGCACGCGCCTGTCTGCCAAGGTGCCTGATTGGTTACTTCTGTTGGAGTGCCGTGTCTCCTGGCTTGCTTTTCCCCTTCCGCCTCGCCTCTCCCAGACCCACTCCTCTTCGTCCCCAGCCCCACACCCTATCTCACAGTCACGTGCCCTGTTGCGTTACGGTTCTTGCACCTGCAGCAAACCCTGTACGAGCATGCCAACGCTCTGGAGGACCGCCAGCGCATGATCAACCTGATGTGCGAGCAGCTCTACTTTAAGTTGCATAACAACCTCGGGTAAGGGGAGGGGTAGTTGGCAGGGCTGTAGTGAGAAATAGACAGTCACCGCATCAAGAAGCCTGCCCATAAGCCATCAGAGGGCAAAGACAGTCACCAACAACCGGCTACCTAAACCGCCACCTGGCTGCCTGCATGCAGCGTGCTCCTCAGCGAATACTGCTACCTCAACGTGCGACAGCGCATACTCATGGACCTGCTGCAGTGCCTGCTGCCAGCGGCATGGCAGGTGGAGCGGTCGGCGCTGCAGGGTGAGGCGTGCTAGACCTTGCCGTGGTGTGCTGTACTGTGCTGAAGCAGCTTGTCATGGGGAGAGGATGTGCATCCTGCATGCAATTGCGAACCGGCCAGCTCCCTACCCACCCTGCAGCTGCCAATGAGCAGAAAGAACTGCTGCTGGAAGAGGACAAGGAGAGAGAGCGGCAACGCCAGGTGGGCGATGGTGGCCGGTGGCTGCACACCCTGCTCATAGCAGATTCCACCACAGGCATCACCACCTTAACCCATTTTTCGACTCCCCTGACCTGCAGGAGAAGGCTGACAGGCGAGAGGCTGAGCGTAAGGCCAAAGCCAAGAAGGCCATGAAGGCAGCAGCGGTGGGCGCTGGCGGCAAGGCCGCCGGCAAGATGGACTGGCGGGAGCAGCTGGATGAGGTTGATGGGGCTGGTAGCGAGCAGGATGAGGCGAATGGGGACGAGGTAGTGGATGGGGAGGCAATGGCGCTGAGCCCAGAGCAGCGCAGAAATTTGGAGCGGCTGTACGAAGAGGTTGGAATTGAGGACGGGGGTGGGCAGGATGGCGGCGAGTGGCAGCACGCAGGGAGTGCGCCACGGCCGGCCTCACGCCAGCGGGAGACGGCGTCGCAATGTGGTGGCCGCGGCAGTGCTCAGAAGCCTGTCCTGCTGAGCGTGCCTCGACGGCGGCCTGGGCCGGGTGAGTCACCAGCAATGGCGGCGCCGCGTCGGCCTGTGTCCAAATCCCTGGGTGACAACGCCGGCGTGGCCTCTGGCGCCGTCACTACTGGGAATGGTTGGAGCTTTGACGACTCCTGGGGGCAGCCGGCGACAGCGCCGCAGGCAACGTCCTGGGCTCAGCGTGCGAGTCAGGGTGGTGATGAGGATGATGTGGACAAGCTGATGGCGGTGAGCCTGCCTGCGCTGCTGCTGTGCTGATGACGCTGATGATGCTGCCGATGGCGTGCCAGCTCCGCTTGGAGTCAGTGTTGGCGGGGTGTGCGAGAATGGAGCTGAGGGTGTGCGGCAATTGGTTACACACCGCTCCCCTCCCTCATGAGGTCTTGCCCCCAGACCAGCGCTACTTGCCCACTGTGCCCACACCCACTCACCACCCGCACAAGTGGTTGTGCTGCATTGCCTGGCGCCTGCAGAAGATGGGGATCCATGGCTCTGGGGAGGTGGTGGTGGATGAGGAAGATGCCGACCTGGCAGCTGCCATCGCCGCCAGCCTGGCGCCCCAAGCCTCCAGCCCGGCTTTAGCGGGGGGAGCGGGCGCCAGTGCCAGCAGCGATGCGGCAGTGCCGGCACAACATGGCACCGCCATGAAACTGGCGGTGCTGCAGAACGACGTGGGGCAGTACAACTGCTTCCTCAATGTCATTGTGCAGTGCCTGTGGCACTGCCGAGAGTTCCGGCAGCAGGTGAACAGGACGTCATTGGCAGCAAGCGGGGGAGGTGGGGCTGCAGGCGGGCGAGCCACGGCTCCAGGCCACTGGCACTCCGAACATGAACGACCATAGCACCTTGCCGTGCAGGTGGGCCAATGGCCATCAGATTTTGTGGCAGCAGACCCAGTGGTGTCTGCGCTGCACGGCTTGTTCCGCGCTTTCCAGGAGCAGCAGCAGGAGGAGGAAGAGGAGCGGCGGCAGCAGGAAAGGCCTCTTGCGTCAGCTGGCAGCAGTGGCAGCCTGCATGCCTCCAGCGTGCCACCCTCGCCAGCGCGTCCAGCGCCGGTCAAAGCGGCACCAGGGACCGCATCGGCGCGCCACATGCCTGGGATGCCTGCGCCGCCATCGCCGCAGCAAGCGCCGCCTGATGGCGCCCCCGGCAGGGGACGCGCAGCAGTAGACCCCTCTGCGCTGCGGGTGGCCCTCGGCAACCTGGAGGGGTATAACTTCGGCGTGGGTGAGCCCGGGATCCTGATGCCAGCGCCAGCACTGCTGCCGCCGCTCGGCTTGGGGCCTGGCTTGCCACCATTGGAGGCTGTTCAGTGTTTATACCCCCCTGCCGCCTTTATGGCAACATCTGTGCACCTGTTCCTGCTGTGCAGGCGAGATGCATGACCCTGCCGAGGTGCTGCTGCGCTTGTACGAGAAGGTGGGCAGAGCGGTTGTGCGCAGCGCAGCAGGCTGCGCGGGCCGCAGCACAGCATGGTGTGCCTGCACATTGGAGGCTGCGCAGCACCCAGAGGAGTCGATGCCCGTCAGCTTGCCCACCTCTCCCCGTGCTCCTGCACCACGCGTGTGCTGCAGGTGATGGAGGCGGCGGCGACGGCGGGTCGCACCGCCGGCATCGAACCCACCTTTGGGGTGGCAGTCAATGAGGAGGTGCATTGCAGCCAGTGCAGCAAGACCACCCACCAGACCGGGTACATGCAGTTCTTCTACCACACGCAGGTGGGGCAGGGCTTTAGTAGGCTCTCTGCCACACCCTCAGTGATTTCACCCATCAATGCAGCATGCTCACCGCTTTTGATCAGGCACCTGCTGCGGCACCCCCTGTGTCGTTGTCGCAGGCTACTACGCTTCAAATGAAGCCCCTGGTGCTAGAGCCCGACGCCAGCATGGGCAACCTGCTGCGCTGCGCAGAGGCGCAGCAGCAGAAGAGCTGCGATGAGGATTTGGGTGGCTGCGGCTCGCCCAACCCCGTCAACCACTTCCTGGAGGGCACGCCGCCGCGGGTGTTCACGCTGCAGGTGGCCTGGGAGTCGCACAGCGAGGGGCCAGACGTGATTGCCTCCACGCTGGCGGCGTTGGACGAAGAGGTGTGTCAAGAGCGTGTGTGGCTGCGTTGTGTCAAAGAATGGCTATGTGCGGAAATGGTTCTGGCATGCTTCATTCTCGGCACTGCCGGCCCTCAGTTTCTGCGCCTTGACACTCACACACCCTCCACAGGTGGACCTGGGCGAGGTGTACCAGGGCGTACAGCCAGGCCTCTTCCGCTACCGCCTGCGCAGCATGGTGTGCTACTACGGCCAGCACTACCAGGCGATGGTGCTGGTGCCTGATGCCGGCGGCTGGCTCATGTTTGACGACTCGCGGGTCAGCGGCGTGGGCGGCTGGGCTGACGTGCGACACAAGTGCAAGGCGGGGCGCATCCAGCCCAGCGTGCTCTTCTACGAGGCGGTGCAGGGCTGAGTACGCACTATTCTGACTAATTTGATTGGCACCCACGTTTGCCACTGTCATATTTTTGCCTCCTTGTTGTTGGAATTCCCTGTATCGTGCACATTCATGCTCTTTTTTCACAGTTATTACTGAGCCCATTGTCTGCTGGCATCAGGTTTCCTCACTTGCCCTTGCCCCATCAAATACAAGGAATGATATACAACAATACAATACAAGGAAGGATAGAAGCTCACCATCAACTAGCTGCTCTCTGCCACAGCAGCAGCAGCGGCAATTAGCACAGTTGCACCCGACCAGACCAAGCAGCTTGCCAAGAAGAGCTCCAATAGCCATGCCCCGGCAAACTCATTCAGCGGCAGGAGCTGCGGCCTCAGTTCACTTGTCACCACATCCGAATGCTGCCACCCGGCTTCCAGACGCCGCGCAATGAACAGCCTTCTATCGTGGTACTCAAGGCGGTACAGGAGGAAGAGCGGCAGCACAATGCCCACCATCGCATACAACCAGGCATCCACCACCAGACACTGCTGCATCGGCACGGCCTCGTCATGCGCCGCCGGTGTGACAGCGGGTGCCAAGAGGGCACCGCTGCATCAAGGAGTGGGGTGGGGTGGGGGCAGCGTTAATGTGCATCTTAAAAGAGCGGGTGAGGCAGCTCATGTGCCCCTTTGTGAATGGCAGCACCCTCAGCAGCACTCACTGGAGTGCCCCAAGCGTGTGGAACAGCTCCGCCAGCGGTTGCTCCACGCCTGGCACCGCAATGACTCTGTGGCACACGCTTTTGCCGAACAGAAGCTGCGCAAGGCGCACACAGATTGACAGGTTCAAACCGCAGCGTGGCCGGTGGCTGGCAGCAGCAAGCAGCCACGGTGTGACAGCAGAACAGCTCCCCTGCCACCCCAATTCCCAATTCCCAACCCACAAATTTTACTTTTTCGAACGATCGAATCAATCAAAGCGCGCCCGCGGATATTCAAACAGCCTGCAGATATTTTCATATCAGCAGACTGACTTTTCACCCACCTGTCACAGATTTTCCCTCGCCCGTTCGGTTTTTTGCCGACAGCTGGCTAGCAGCCAGACTATATAAGGAGCCTCGATGCCCTGACAAGATCATCTTTTCTCTCCCTTTGTGCTGGAGTGCCCCTGTGTAATAACAGGCGCCCGCCGCCCCAGCCCCGCCCGAAGGAGAAGGATCCTGCCGCTGCGACCAGCGCTCGGCAGTCACCCCAGCGCTCTCACGAGGCTCCCCGCTCTCACACAAAGACAAAACAGGCCGGCCGGAACCTTCTGGACCCGCGCCGCCTTTTTGCACCACACACGGTGCGTCTCGTCATGCAGCACCAGCGCGCGACAAGGAGGGTGGTCGTGCGCCTGCCAGCAGCAACAGCCAGCAACTCACCGGCAGCAGCACCACGGGCGGCAGCACGGCGCAGCTCCAGCTCAGCAAAGTGCGCGCATAGAGCCAGTAGATTGTGCTATACAGCACATTGCTGCACAGCAGGTGGAGGGCCAGCAGACGCAGCATGCTGGAGTTGTGGTGTACAAATAGGTTGTCTGCTCCGAACGAGCCTGCACAAAGGCAAGGGCGAGGGGCAGGTGTCACCCATGTGCAGCATTCTATAGGTTTCTGATCACAGCTGACATGCCGATCGCACTCACTCAAGGCGCGGCTGATCAGGTTAAGATTCAGAAGGACGACAGTGAGCAGCACTTCCCGATGCATCACATAAAAGCCGTGGCGGCGCCGAATAAATCCCGCGCCCCACAGCAGCAGCCCCACGTGCGTGCCGCCCAGCAGCGTCAGGCCTGCATGAGGTCAACGGGAGCGCAACGGCGGGGGTCTCAACCTGTGCGATTGTTGTGCAATCAGCAGACGCGCATGGGCGGCACGGTAGGGCAGGACCCGACAGCCGCACCGATGCTGCCTCGCAGTAGGACCTTGACAAAAAGAAGCGGGATGAAGACGACGGCAGAAAACAGGGCCCCCGTACTGTCTGAGAAGGCCGCCTTGTCGTTAAGCTCCCTGCAAGGCTTTGTTGTTAGGTTTGGACAAGGGTCGCTTGACCGGGGCCGCCACACTGATGCGGCAGTACACCGGCGGCGAGAGCGCCTCCTAGAGAGCGCCTCCTAACCGGCCCGCCGTTGCCTGCGCGGCGAACCATACAGCGCTATTCATGAAGTTCTGAGGGCAGACGCACAAGCGAAAGGGGTCCTCTCTCCACCGCTGCAACCTCATGGACCACCGCTCGTGCACCCTTTTGCGCTGGGAGGGTGGACGCATCATGCAGTTGCGCTGGCAGGGAGGAGGTGGAGCAGGCGCAGAATAGGCACGAGGGGGCGGGCATAGCGCAGTGCACGGGAGCGCCCTCACTACCAGTACGGCCGAGGTACAAATCACGCGTCCCGCGTATTCTTCTGCCACCAAGCTGACGATGGCTTGGGGCGGTGGCTGCGGCAGCCGAGGTGCCCTGGTTTGTAGAGGGCGCGCCACGGTGCATTGGTCTGGCAGGTGCCGCCGCCGCCGCCGCCGCCCGCACTGGCAACGGTGTGGACGCACAATGGTATGGGTGTTGGTATATGGGTATGGGTATGCACAGGAGGTGTGCCATGCACAGCGCCAGAACCTGGTCCTGGTTCTGGCAGGGCTGCACTGTGCTATGAAGGCGGCATTGGTGGGCAAAGTGCAACACAAGTCGGTGCACGCGCTGGCGCTGGTGATGTACCTTGGCAAGCTGTGTGCGGGGTTGCCAGGTGCGATTCCTCTCTTTTCCCAGCCCAATCAATGATCGTGTGGTGCAGAGATTTACAGAAACATGCCCCCATCTGCCATTCGGGAAGCTAATGGCAGGTGGGGACTGCATAATAAGGCGCCAAATGGCAGCATGAGGCAGGCGCAGGCGGTGCGCTGCATGCAGTGGGGACTCCCCCCCCAGCTGACCGCCACCGCCGCTGCTGCCTGACCAACCCTTGTAAGCGCGCCTGGCTAGCCAGCCCGCCTCCCAGCTGGCGCCAACGCTGCCCCTCTCACCCACGATGCCGCCCAGGAACTGCGCCGCCATGTAGAGCAGGCCGCTGCGCCAGCCCATGTGCCCGCTGATGATGGTGCCCAGCGTGACGGCGGGGTTCAGGTGGCCGCCGCTCACGTTGGCAGTGGCGTACACAAGCACCGCCAGCGCCGGGCCGTTGCCATAGGCAGCGGCAGAGTCGCGCGCCTCGCCGCCATAAAGCGCGAACAGCAGCATGCCCAGGAACTCTGCCGCCAGCGCGGCATACAGCTTCTTGTGGCTGGGCTCCACGTCGCCGCCCTCCCCAAACTGCACGCCGCAAGGAAGGTAGGATGTGTTAGCGCTGAGGGCCGGCGGAAGAGCGGGCCGCGCCAGGAGGCGGCGGCAACAAACACTTCGGTCGGCTCCTGCAGGCGCGGGCTGACCTTCTCATACCGCACCACCGGCGAGCGGCAGGAGTCTATAAAGGCGCGCCACTTGCAGCATGGCCGTCCACGTCAGCAGCAACACCAGGAACCAGCGCAGGAGCAGGACCCGCCTGGGGACAGGCACAGCAGCAGCTCACGGAGTGGCTCCTCGCCATCTGGCTGGCATTGGCCGAAGGCTGCATCACCAGGCAGCAGCCCCCGCAGCCACTCTTCGGCCAGAGCAGCGAGGTGTTCGGCGCGCCACTGGATTGACGCCAGCAGGGCACCTGCACCGCCGCTGCTGCAGTTGCTGCCGCCGCCAGCAGTGCCGCTGCTGTGCTGCGCGGCATACTCCTGGTGTATTTCCGGATCCGCCGTCTTTGGTGCCAGAACCAGCAGCGTTGGCACGAGCCACCCAGGATGATCCACAGAAACAGCAGCAGCACCACTGTTTGTGTGTATGTGCCTGCGCATAGCACATAGAATGCCGGGGAAACAGCGGCATGATGAGATGTATGGACCTCGGCAAAGGAAGATGAGCGTCGAGGCGCAGGACAGGCAGTCTGGCTGGAGTGCCAACTGACTGCACAGCTTTCTTTGAGCACGGCCTGCCTAAGCAGCTGGCATACACACACCTTGACCTGCAGGCACAGCCAGGACTGGCGAGACTGCGGCGGCCAGCAAGCCCATGCCATGGTGCACCGCACCTACCACAGCCGCCATGTGAGGCCCGCTCAGAAACTGCATTGCAGAGCGGGGTGAGGTACTTTGGAAAAATGTGCAGCAAGAAAGGTCATCATACTGCCAATCAGGGTATCCCGGCAAATGTTGTGTCGGCATGAGTTGACATCGCTTTTGTTAAAGGTTTCCACCTTTAACACTTCTGTTTAAGGTTCCCACCTTGCTGCAGCAATGCGCGTTGACTCCGAACGACATCAGCGCCCCAATTTTGAAAGCCTGCACAGGCATGTGGACGTGCAGCGGCAGCGGCCATCCCACGCCGCTCAGAAGCAGCGGCAGCACATGCGTGCCTGCAGGAGATTCAGAGCGAGGCGCATCTGAAGTTGGACACAGAACAAAAGCCGCTGTTGAACTGAGAACAGGCAGCCAGCACCCCCCAGCACACAAGAAACGGGCGCGCCCACAGCGCTCACCCACGATGACATTGCACCACATGGAAGACCAGCAGGAGCCACCTGCTGGCGGTGCCCACCACCCCGCATCGAAAGCTACCGGGGAGAGTTGCAGGGGGAGGCGATTGAGGGGGAGGCGGAGGCCGGCGAGGGCGGGCACAAGCCAGCGCTGATAGCTATGCGGCCGCATCGCGGGCCACACCATGGAAACTGTCACCACTGCAGCAAGGGAGGGTACAGAGGCCTCAAGCGGCACTTCAGGTGTTGCTTTGTGGCCGATGGCCCTGGAGGGGCGTCGCGCAGGGTGCCGTCCCGCCGCTGCTGCGGCGGCGGAAGTGAATGGCTCCATGCCTAGCCCATAGTTTCGAGCGACAGACAGGCTACTGCTGAGCAGTCTGCTACACGAAATTGGGCGGCCGGGTGAGGTCCTGGTGTGCAGCCGAAACACACAGCAGGCTACCGATGGACTGCAGCGTGAAGCACTTCGCCAAGAAGGCGACACCATTGTCTGGGTCACAAAACTGTACTGGTTGGCCATTACGGAGCGAGCATCTGCCGACCACAGGCTGGCGGCAGTACACCGGCGCATTCAGGCTGCGGCATGAATGGGATTTCGCCATTGAAATGGGGGCGCAGGAGGCGCCTTGTACAGCTGCGAGGTATGCAGGCCATGCGGTGCTCGTTCGGCAGTTCTTTTGTTACTCCCTCAGGGCGATCGCTGCGGCTCAGGGTGCCCAAGGCAGCGATAGCGCGACCAGCAAGAAGGGCGACCGGCGACTCACGGCGAGTCACAGCAGGCCTAGGTGGGCCCACAGTGACTCGTTCTGGGTGGGGGGAGGTCGTGCAGTGCAGCGTAAAACTCTCGGGGCCTGCTGCCGCACCTGCGGCCAGCGGCGGCCGGCGGCATGTGCTCCACAGCCGCCCGCCTTGGAATACCTGGCGCAATTTCTGGTTTGGCTTACAGGAGCGTCTCACAACAACGCTTTGGAATGTTTTTGCGCGGGTTCCTCTGGCTTGCAGTGGCTGGCGACAGAGATGAACAAAAGGAAGAGCGGCTACGCCGTTTCCGCACGGTACGTCATATTTGTTTGAGTCTGATAGTCTGACGATCCGCCTGTCCAACGCGTCTGCTGCCTCTGCTTCTCGCTTTCCCGCAGAACTACTCTTTCGCCAACTGGGCAGCCCACCGCAGCACACGGCGCTACCTGCGCCACTTCCTGGGCATCTTCTCCTCCCGCATCGTGTCGGGCCTGAGGTGGCCGCTGGGTCTAGTGGCACTGGAGGCCACCTTAGTGTGCACGTGAGCCACCCATCTATTCCTTTAGTCTTGCGCCCGTACTGCTCAGGCGTTGTGATTTTCTGATCGAGCGTATTGTAGGTATGAGGCGTTTTTGACCCAAGGCCTGCTGCCCGCGGGCTTTCGCTCGATTCAGGTCAAGGTAGGCGGGGTGATGGGCAGGAGCAGCGAGCTTCAGGGAGGCAGGAGGCGGCTGGTGGTTGTGCGGCGGGATTTGGGCAGGCTGGCGCATGTGGTGGCGCGCCTGTTGTGGACACGTGCCGGCCCAGATCCTATCGTGGCAGGTGGTGGCTGCTCCATAAACGGCATTTCCATCGCCATGGCGAGTGCAGGCCCCGATGCTGTTTAGCCTGAGCTCTTTCGCTCTGTCTCTCCTGCTGGTGTTTCGTACGAATCAAGCCTATGCGAGGTGTGTGTTGCTCTGGCCGGGACCGCAGCTGGGAGGGTTTTGGGACAGATGGCGCCCTGATGCGACCGGCGGCCTGATGCCGGCCGTCCCGCCTGCGAGACGCGTGTAGCATTGTCGCTGCCCTTGCCTCATTCGAGCTCAATCTGCGCCGCCGTGGGCCCCTCGGCAGGTTTGACGAGGCGCGCCGCCTGTGGAGCATCCTGGGTGAGGGCGATGGCGGTGGGTGACAGGGCGATGGCCGCGGGAGGCTCGTTCCGGGACGATGCTGAGCTTCATGGGCTCACCCACTGCAGGCAACCGATGCAAGGACGCGCAGCGGCAGGCGGTGTCATACCTCGGACCGCAGCAGCGCGGCCTGCTGGCGGTGCTCGGGCGCTGGCTGCAGGCGTTCCCCTGGGTGCTGAAGAACCACGTGAGGGAGGCCAAGCGGTGGGAGGCGCTGGAGGTGGGTGGGCGGGAGTACAGGCCGTGCCGGGCGCCGGGCGCCCCCGGCGGGCCCTGTGATGGCCAGCTGTGCCGTTCCAGTGGGAGCCCAGGTGTGGGCGCCCTGGTGCTTGGGCTGCTGTGGCACCTGCGCAGCTCCTCGGGGGCGCCGCCCGGGTGCAGCGTTGCCCCTATCTGCGTGATGGTGCCCCTGTCTATGCTGCAGGGCATCCTGGAGCCAGAGGAGCTGCAGCTGGTGATGCGGGCGCACAACCCGCCGCTGGCGGCGCTGCAGGTGGGGCGGCGGGCGGGGCGGGGCCTGGTGCTGGAGCGACCCAGGCGCCGCGCATTGCCGCCACGCCAGCCCGCTGCGACCCAGGCGTCGCTGCGCAGCGGCGCTGTGGCGCGTTGCCCCGCCTCGCCCACCCCAGCCATCGCCCCGCTGGCTGTGTCACCGCCCCTCCTGCACCCCCAATCGTCCCACCCCAGGTGCTCACCGAGCTCTTTGACCGCGCCCCCATCTCAGCCAAGCAGCGCCTGCGCGTGGACTCGTGCCTGACCGACCTCAGCGACGCGGTGGGCGCCTGCGAGCGCATCCTGCGCACACCCATCCCGGTGTCGTACACGCGGTGAGGGTGTGGGTGGGGCGGGGCGCTGGGGCAGGGGCCGCCTGCACTGGCGGGAGCGCAGGACACCGGCTGCGTCCCCAGATGCCCCCCCATCTCGCCACGGGCCTCTCCTGCCTGCTGCCAACGGGCCCTGCCTGGCTTCATTGTTCTGCGCCCGCCCACCCCCCGCCCCCCCCGCCCCTCCCGCCCCGCAGCCACACCGCGCGCTTCCTGGTCATCTGGCTGGCGCTGCTGCCCTTCTCCATCTACGCGCAGTGCGGCTGGGTCACCGTGTTCAGCTCTGTGGTGCTGGGCTTCTTCCTGCTGTCCATAGAGGAGATTGGGGTGACCATCGAGGAGCCCTTCAACATCCTGCCGCTGGAGGTGGGTGGGAGCGCGCCTTTCCAGGTTCCGCGAGCGTGAGGTCGCCGGCCTGCTGACGGTGTGCGGCTGCCGTGGTGAGGGGGCGGTCTCGTGCCTGCGCCCTCCACCCGCCTCTCCTGCCTCCTGCAGGACATCAACACCACTGTGGTGGCCGACCTGGCTCAAATCCAGGGTCAGATGGACGATGTGATCTCTCTGGTGGATGCAGCCACCGGCACGCAGCGCGCCCCGCCGCACCCCTTCACCCCCGCAGCCACCGTGGCCGCGGGGACAGCGGCGGGGCGTGCGCCGGCAGAGCAGCCGCCTCGCCCCGCAGAGGCTGCTGCCATGCCTGACGGGGCGCGCGCTCCTGCCTCGCTGTAAAGCCAACCTGCACAAGCCACTGTTTCCCCCCTGTTGCCTGTTGCGCTCCTTGGCTGCAAAGCTTAGCTTGCCCACTTTTGCTGCGCTCTGTTTTCTCGATTTCGTTCCCTTTTCTGTCCTACCCTGTCTATGGAGAGCTGCCTTTCTTGCTGGCATGAGCTTTTCTGAGCACCGACATGTATCCAGTTTCAATTTTGAGTGTAAGCGAAGGTTTATGATTAGCCTCCGACAGGGGTTCTGCCCTGGGCCCGCCGTGGATAATTGGCTGGGTGCAACACCACTTTGTCCTGCTCTGGCTCCTGCCGGCGCCCGCCGCAGCACGACGCCGCGCTCGCCTCCTTCAGGCTCAGGCTCAGCGCAGGCTCAGCTGGAAGGCCGGCGGGTCGTCGATGTACGTTGATTTTGACACCGCAAACCAGTAGTAGGTGTTGGGGGAGTAGGTGATGAGCGCCCTGAAGGCGTACTCGCTGAGGCAGCGCTCGTCCTCGTCGGCGCCTCTGCACCGGCGGCGGGCGGGGGGATTGGCGGCAGGGATGGGCGGTAGCGCGTGGGACGAGGGGCGGCAGAGGCAGGCATGCAGACAGGTAACGCAACCCACGTGGGTTAAGTGCACGACCGCAGCAACGTGCACGACCACCACCCACCCACCACCGAAACCATCCACCACACTCACCCCACACAGCTCAGAGGCCCGGTTGGTGTTGTGGACGACAGGATGGCGACTTGCACGCTGCCGCTGGGCGTGTAGCCGCAGGAGGAGGCCAGCAGCTTGCCGGGGCCATCGCTGCCAGAATACCACCTGCGCCCAGGAGTTCAGGAACGGTGCGGCGGGTGGGGAAGGCCGCAGCGCGGTGTGACTGCAAGCAAGCCGCTTGGCTCAGATGGCATGGCTGTCATGTGACTGCAAGCCAGCGCCATGGGTGGCGTCGAGGCCAGGCCTGCTGTCAATGGCCCCTCTCGGTGCACCGCCCCACCTGAACACCACGCTCTTGCTGGCCAGGAATGCACACTTGGCCGGCAGGGCACCGCTCTCAAACTTCTGCACGGCGGCACGCAGCGGAGCACGCGTGCGCGGCCGTCAGCGGGAGGGGCAGGCCAGTGCCGTGCCGCTGCTGGAGCCTTGCGCATGCTCTGGGGCCGCGAGCTGCCACCGCTGTCGCTGTCGCGCCCCCGCTCACGCATCCTACACCCACCGTGAACTTTGGGCTCAGGTAGGGCAGAGAGGTCACGTCAATTGGGGACAGCCAGGGGCCGACACGCGGCGGCGACGGCGGCAGAGGTGGCCGAGGTGGCGGAGACGGCGGTGGGGGGCTGCAGGCAGATGGGGAGGGGCGAGGCAGGGGGCAGCTGCTGTCGGCACACGCAGCACGGCCACGCTGCGGGGAGGCAGGAGCACAGAGCACAGACCAGAGTTCGGGGCACCCGGCCCCCTTCCCTTTTCTCAGCAGCGCACTGACCTGGGGGGCGGTGAGCGTGGCTCCGCCCTGACCTCCAGGCGCAGGATGGGCAGCAGTGGGTTGGGCATGGGTGCCACCGCCACAAAGTACCAGGTGCGTGCCTTGTAGGGCACGCTGACGCTGAAGGAGTCTGCCACGAGGGAGGAGTAGCCGTCAGACATGGAGTCGGCGCTGCAGGCGGGCAGGCAGGCGGGCAGCGCAGGGGCAGGCGGCACAAGAAGTCAGGCAGCCGGCCGTGCAAGCCATGGCGGCGGTGGCAGGACCGGTGGCAGCCGCCTGGTGGCGGGGGTGGGGGGCGGCAGCGGCGGTGACGAAGTGGGCAGGCTTGGGGCCACCAGCCCTCCCACCTGGCCGCAGACGCAAGCAAGCAAGCTGGCAGGCAGGCAGGCAGGCAGGCAGGCAGCGCTCCCAGCCCCCACAGCCCAGCACAGCAGGCTGCCACTCACTCCAGGCATTTGTAGGGCCCCCCTGAGGGCTGGTTGGAGGAAAGGACAGACACGAGGGCGATGCCTCTCACCATGTGGCCCTTGGAGGTGGCAGTCAGGATGCCCACAGCATCCCCCGAATACCACCTGCACACAAGCAGGAACGGCGTTCTCCTTTGGTGTGGGGTGAGCAGGACGCTTGGCGCAAGGACGCCTGCCCACCTACCTACGCCTCGGACCGCAAGGATCGGCGCGGCCCGACTGGCGTGCAGCCAGCAGCTGGGCTGGCGCTGCCGCCGCCCACCTGAACACCATGGTCTGGTTGCGGAGGTAGTCGTGGCAGTCACCTGATCTGGCAGGGCGCGGCTGGCGGTTGAAGGTCTGCATGTGGGTGTGGGCGCGTGAGGGGAGCAGGCAGGCGCCTCACACATACACCTGCGGCCCCCAGCCAGAACGCCGCGGCGAGGCAAGCACGCAGGGCGGCACCTCACGGCACAGCGCAGCGGCAGCGGCGCCGGGCTTGCACGCGGGGTGGGCCGGCAGGGTAGGCAGGGCGGCGGGAGCAGCGCGCTTGCCGTGATTCTGCTGCTGAGGAAGGGGAGGGACTTGATGATGATGGGCTTGGACCAGGATCCGGGGCCGGGAGGAGGGGGTGGGGGCCGTGGCGAGGGAGGCGGGGCGGGGCGCCTGCACCAAGCACGCGCAGGCACCGCAGGCGTGTCGGTGTGCGCTTGGGGAGGAGGCACAGCCGGCGCCTCGATCTGTGCCAGGACCACCATGGCGCTAGGCATGCCGCGGCGGTATAGCCAGCAGGCACGTCGCGCAGCGCCGACCGGAAGCGCGAGGCGCGGCATGCACGGCGCCACAGGGAACGCCGCGGCGGCTCACTGCGGGGGCGGGCGCGGGGATCGCGCGGGGCGGGGGGTGGGGGGCACGCGGCCTGCGCGCCGGTAAGCTGACATGGCCCCAACCCGCCTGCCGGTGCCCAGGACCACGGCAGAGATGTCGGCATGGCTGCAATTCCCGTAGGGGCGCGGGGTGCGGTACCACACCTTGGGATACTCCCTGTGGCAGGTGGGTGGGTGTGGTGCGTGTGGGAGCAAGAAGTGTGCGCGTGGGTGGAGGTGGAGGTGGTGTGGTGTGCGACGGGGGGCTGCAGAGGAAGCAGCCGCGTAAAGCGCGGTGCCATGCTGGCATGGCTGCCGCCAACGAGGGGCGCCGAGGGGGTGTGGAGCCCCGGACCAACCCGCAGCAAGCAGCACGCTCACTTGGGCTGGGTGGTGGCGGTGGCATAGTGGCACCAGCTGGTGGCCTTACAGCTGCGGACAGGGCAGGGGAGGGCCCGGTGGCAACGGCGGGGGCCAGTCAGCGCGACGGCCCACCGGCAGCGCAGCAGAGCAGGCAGCTGTGGGCGCGCAAGCTGAGCCCCCCGGCCAAAAGCGCCGCGGCTGCGCACCTGGCGATGCAGGCCTTGGCGGTGGCGTTGTACACCCTGAATTGCTCGTACATCAGGCGGATCTGGTACTGCACGGAACGCTCCTCCACCCAGGTGTCTGCAGGCGCGGCACGGGGCTTGGTGTGTGGTGGGCACTGTGCGTGCCACCTCCACAGGCGGTCGAGCGTGTGTGGTGCAGTGTTGTGTCTGTCGGGTGGGTGGGTTTGCGGCGGGGCGCGCAGGGGTGTGTGCAAGCGGCGGCGGCCGGCCGCAGAGAGGCACGCATGGGCAAGCAGGCGCGGCCACAGGGCACCTCACATTGGTAGGGGGGCGGCGGGGGCGGGGGGCGTGTGCCCAGCAGCATCGCCAGCGCACGTGCCGCGTTCAGCCTGCCGCCGCTTGCCGCCGCTCTGCTCAGCGCTGGCAGCTTGTCCACAGACCCGAGGAGCGTTTTCCTGGGGGCAGCAGCACAGGAGGGCAGGCACTCCCAAAAAGTGACACTCGGAGCCTCGTGACGCAAAAGGTGCCGCAGCGCCCGGCAGCGGGGCTAGCCTCCTCTGCTCGGGCGCCAGCTGCACCGCCGGCCACCCTTCACCCGCCGCCGGCCCCACTTGCCGCTTCCTTCCCTCCGCCCTGCCTGCCTGCCTCCTTCACGTACAGCCACCTGCCCGCCCCCACCTGACAAGTGAGTAGGTGGCCTCGGGCTTGGCAGCAAACATGAGCGCCGCGGCCGCCGCCACCAGCGGCGTGGATTGGCTGGTGCCCGAGAGCGTGGCGTAGCGCGTGTTGCTCGTGTGACTGGCGCCCCACACGTTGACGCCAGGCGCCATGAGGTGCACCGTGCGGCGGCCAAAGTTGGAGAAGAAGGCGCGCCTGCCGTCGGCGCGGGTACTTCCTGCAAAAAAACAAGCATCTGCTTTAATTTATGTGCTTAAATTTGTTTCTAGGGATGTGTTTCAGGGGAAGATCTCCAAAAGGACGTCTTACCAACTGATAGGATGTTTGAATGCAAAACGTTGGCGGGATAAACGCCCCCGCTATCGGTGCTCTTGTTGTCTGCACAGGCAGCCGGGCGTGAGCGGCAGGGCGGCAACCACGGTTGAGAGGGGCAGGGGCCTGGGCACAGCGCCACAAGCGGCAGGGCGCAGCGACTTTCAAGGGGGTGGTCGGATGGGCAGGGACCGGTGCGGCTGCACTCCCTGCCGCACACAGCTCCCTCCCAGCTCACCGTTGCCTGCCGCCGCCACAAACAGGATACCGTCCTGATAGATGGTGTACATCGCATCGTCCATCAATTCGGAGTGACGGGTGGAGGTGAAAGAGGCGGACATGACGCGCACGCCAGCCTGCGCAACCGGTGTGGAAAGCAGCACCGGGTGAGGTGGGCGTCACGCGCCAGCCACACCCGCCTGCGCGGTTCCACGTGGCAGCGGCGGCGGCGTGCGCACGCATGGCTGCGGCAGGGGCTGCTGTGCGGTGCAGCCTCCCTGGCGGCCTCCCCGCGTGCTGGGCCAGGCCGCCCCGCACCTGCCGGCACAGGCTGAAGCAGTCGAGGATGCTGGACATGAAAAAAAGGCCGAGCCGGTTGCCCGCCTTGCAGATGTGCAACCCCGCCTGCAGGCGCAGGGGAGGGGCGGCGTGGTGGTGGGGCTCCGCTGCCTCGACGTGGTGCTGTGGCATGGCAGGAACGCAGCGGCAACGCAAACCAAGCAGCACATGATGCAGGAGGCGGGCTGCCGCGCCAAGGCTTCGCGCCCAGGCAGGCATGCGGCGGGGTGGGAGCAGCGGCGCGCCGGGCTCTCTCACGTTCCAGGCTCCGCCGGTGATGCCAGCCAGGTTGTTTCCGGAGGCCGCCAGGATGCCAGCGACGTTGGAGCCGTGGCCATTCTCGTCTGCAGGCAGCACGGCATGGCAGCATCAGGCGACGCAGACAAAGCCAGCTGCAATTGGAGCAGCGCAACACCAGCCACAGCCGGGCAGCAGCAGGGGGGTGCAGTGCCACGGTGTGCAGAGGGCGCCCCGTGCCTGCAGGGCTGCATTTGGGCGGGGCCGCCGCCGCCCACCTGCGATGTTGAAGTATTGCGGGGATCCGGGTGTCGGCATGGGATATGTCTCGACTTCAGAGTCGCCCACGGGCTCCTGTGCCCTGCACCACACACCGCAGCAGCAGGGGCTCAGCCCCGGCATCCAGCACAGGAGCGGCCGGCCCGGGCGGGCTGCTGCCTGCCCACCCAGCCCACCCAGCTTGGTCGGCAATGCAGCAACCAACCAGCGTGCACGCACCGGTTCCACCCAGCCACAATGTTTCCCTTGAGATCCACATGCTTGGCCCTTGCCCCGGTGTCAATGATGCACACGCCCGCCTGGCAGTGGTGCGCAGCTGATTCACACAGTCAACTCCACGGCTGGGAGGGGGGCCAGCATGCAGCTGGGCAATGCAACGAGGTGCCCAGCGGCCCCCGGCCCAGCCCCGCACCCTGCTAAACACCCGACTCCTCCTACCTGCTTGGAGCCAGTGGAGAGGCCCCAGGCCGAGGGCGCCCTGATCTGCTGCAGGTACCACTGCCCCGAGTAGCGCAGCCCCGGCTGGAAGCGTGGGTCGTCGGGCACCCGCGCCTGGCCGGCCCCAGCAGCGAATGGTGCCGCCTGCCCTGGGTCGGCGCCGCCGCTGTCGGCTACCCCCGGCATCGGCTGCTCGTCGCCAGCTTCCCCCACGGGGGGGTTCATCAGGATGTAGTCTGGCTCTGCCACATCAACCAGCGGGTGGCGGCTCAGCTGCGCCACCTTGGCGGCCACGCGGCTGCCGTCGCTGATGCGGAACACATACACGGCGCCCGGCGGCGGCCGTGCCCCAGATGACACGGCGGCGGCGGCTCCCCCTCTGCCCACGCCCACCACTCCCGTCAGCACCACGCCTGGGAGCGCAGCCGAGGCGCTGACCTCTGCGCTGGCCTTGAATCGCAGCAGCACACGGTCTGAAGCGGCCGCCGCGGCGGCGCCCGCCGGGAATTCAGCGCACAGCCATCCTGCACAGTAAGGGCGCAAGCTGCGCGGTGCATCACTCTACGGCGCGATCCAGGAATAAGAAACAGCGCTGTTTCTCGTTGGGCATCCGCGGCGCCTGCCGGCACTGGCCCCCCGAACCGCCTGCAATCCACTATTGGACGCAATTTTCGTTCATGTTCACTGCACTTGCCTGCCACGAAAAGCAGGGCTACTGGCCGCCATCCGCTGGCCCGCATGTCGGATCGGATGAAGGCCAAAGCGCCCACGACACCCACGAAGCGGAGGACTGGCATGATTTGCGGCAGGCGCCGAACGGCGGATGGCCAATACCTTCCACCCGCCTGCGGTGGTCCCGTCCACAACTCCACACAATGCTGAAATGCAACGATCCCTGTCCACGCTCTCCTTCCCATGTCAGTGTATTTTAGGGGTGGTCTCTCCTCATTTGGATGGCCTGGGATGTCCCTGCGCCTGCCGATGTCCCAACTGATCCTGCACGGTGGCGCAGCGGGCCTGCTGCAGCGGGCGCGGGCCAGCGCAACCTCAGATGCATGAACCGCGCTTCCTCTCTTGCAATCTTCGCCTTTTATTGAAAGACCAGACAATCAGCCAATAACTTTGGCCGCATTCGGCGGAACATGCGATCGAATGAGTGACAGGGAGTCAAAATCAGCAGCGGCCGAGACGACATCCTGCTGAAGGCATCGCAGGCGCGATGGTGCCACCCGCACAGCTACCCCCGCCCGACTGGCTGGAGCGGAGGGTGAGGGAGGCCCGCTGTTTTGCTTTGTGAACATTTGTGCACTCCGCTTGTATCATGGGCGTGTAATGCAAAGCCGCAGAGAGAGCCGCCCTGCACAGTGCTCACCCCTTGCCGCCGCCGCCCGCGGCCGCCCCGCCGTGCACGCAGACTCAGCACTCGTTCCGCTATCGCAAGCGCAGCCGCACGGTGTCCGACACTGCCGAGGAGGCGTATTTGCGGCTGGACATCCCCTGCGGCAGTCCAGACTGCGTGGCCTGTCCGCCGACCTCGCCGGCGCTGGCGCCGTCGCCGCAGCACCTGCTGCTGCCCGATGCCTCCGTGCTGGCGGGCTGCCTGGAGGTGTTTGAGCTCCCAGAGGTGGAAAACCTGGTGCTGCTGACCAGCGTGGTGCGGCAGGTGGGCTGGGGCTGGAGGCGGGGCCAAATGCTGCTGGTGCAGGACAGACAACCACACGGGCTGGGCCGCTGCTCCATCCACGCCCCGCTCGACGAGTCGTGTCCCCGCCCCCGTCTCTGGCGCTGTCCAGCCAGCCAGTGCCCATTCAGCCTCTTGGCCCCCCTCCCCCACCTGCAGCTGCACGATGGCGGCAACATGCGCCGCGCCGCTCGCCTGCGCGCCCTCTACTCCGACCCCCGCCGCCGAAACGTGCTGTTTGACAACCTGCACCACCGCGAGACCGCGCCCGCCAGCCTGCGCGAGCAGCGCGCCGGCCTGGCGCTGCTGGCGGCGGCAGAATGGTGCGCTCTGCAGGGGTGGGGGGTGGGGGGTGCAGGGGCCGGGCCAGGATGTGTCGGCCTCGTCAAGCCAGGTGCACCCGACCTGCTGCCCTAGACCCAGAGCTGCTGCTGGGCTGCCCCCGAACGCCGGCTTGCAGGTATTACGAGCACCTGGGAAGCCGGCTGCCGGTGGTGGTCGTGTCGGACTCGCTGGCACAGCAGTTTGGCGGCGACAGCGGCAGGGGAGGCGGCAGCTTGAGTGGGCTTGCTGCGCACGACCAGCAGCCGCCGCCACAGCAGCAGGTGGCCACGGCAGCTCCGCAACTAGGTCGCGCACGCGAGGATGAGGATGAGGATCCTGAGCTGGATGCTCTGCTGCGGCAGATGCACGTCGGCGCGCCGGCGGCCAGCGGCGGCGCAGGGGACAACATCGCTAGCTTGCTGGACAGCCTGGGCATTGGGGGCGACGAGCCCGGGGGGGCTGAAGCAGCACCGTTGTGCCAGCTGTCAGGGCAGCCGGAGCAGTTACCACCACCCGAGCAGACTCCTGGAGCCGCCGCCGCCAGCAAGGCGCCGCTGCTGCTGGATCCAGGCGTGCACATCTTGTCGGCGGCGGATTACTTTGGGGGCTGCTGGGGCCACGTCCCGGCGGTGGTAGACGTGTTTGAATCCATACAGCAGCAGTCAAAGGCAGGGGAGGCAGCCTCCAGCGGCGCTGGCGGCGGCGGCGCCTTCCGCCCGCACCTCAGTGCAGCTGCGATGGAGGCGGGGCTGGCTGCCGGTGCGCTGCTGGCGGGCACGCTGAGCGCCAGCCGGCGCGTGCGTGGCGAGGCGAGCGTTGCGGTGGGCGGCGGCCGCGTGCTGGTGGTGGCTGGCTGGGCTGCGATGAACCGAGCGGTGCACGGCGACAGGGTGGCGGTGCGCCTGCTGCCACGGGAGCAGTGGCACACCATTGGCGCAGCCGGACCTGGAGGCAGCGGTGCCGGTGGCGGGGCTGACGGGGATGGTGGCGGGGCTGAGGAGGAGGAGGTGGAGGAGGAGGAGGAGCACGATTTGCTGGCGGCCGCCGGCGCCGGCGAGGCTGATGTGGCGGCTGACGAGGCGCACGGCGGCGGCGATGAGCTGGCAGACCCACTGGTGGGCACCCGGGCTGGGCTGGCGACTGGCCCTGCAGCAGTTGGTTTGGTTTCCGGCTGGACACAAGGGGTGGCAGCGAAAGGCGGTGCGGCTGGGCAGCCCCTGAGGCGCTGCCCTTCTCACGTTGCCCCTGCTGCAGGACGCGCTGCTGGCCGGCGGCGCAGCAGGCGCAGGCAGCGGCGCCGGCGGCCTGCAGCCGACGGCAGAGGTTGTGGGCATTCTGCAGCGCTGGTCAGGGGAGGTGGTGGCTTGCATATCAGAAGACGACGAGCGGGCCCTTGCCGCCAGGCAGGACAGCGGCAGGCAGGTGCGGCGTGGGCGGTTGGGGATGCGTTTGTGGTGGGCGCAGGTGGCAGGCATGGGATGGTAAAGGGCGGTGCAGGCATGTACGCATGCTGCATGTGACGCAGCGGCAGAGGTTGAGCAGCTGCTGCACCTACCGCCTGGCCACACACCTTCTGCCCGCTGCAGGAGGCGGTGCTGTGCATCCCCACCGACCGCCGCCTGCCCAAGATCCGGCTGCGCAGCCGCCAGCTGCACCGCCTGCTGGGCCAGGTGCGCCGCTCGCCAACACGCCTGCCGACCGTCCTGGTGCACTCGTGCCTGCCTGGCAGCCTGCTCCGGCGCGGCCCGCCCAAGTGCACTCCCACCTCCCCTGCCCGCCCACCTGCCGCCAACCTGCTCTCACGTCGCCTGCCCGCCTGCCTGCTGTGCCGGCGTGCAGCGCCTGGTGCTGCGGCTGGATGGCTGGGACCAGGGCAGCCGCTACCCGCACGGCCACCTGGTGCGCAGCCTGGGCCCCATCAACTTCCTCAGGTGAGCAGGCCCCTGGAAGCCCAGCTGCCTGCGGCGGCACCAGATTGGGGTCTGCTTGCCGCGACCACAGCGTGCACATCATGTGTGCGTTGTTCCCCGATCTCCAGTGGGAGTGGCTGGTTGGTTGATGGGGCCCACTTCCACACAGCTCTCGGCGCTGCCCCCTGCAGGAGCGAGACGGATGGGGTGCTGGTCAGCAGCGGGGTGCACTGGCAGCCCTTCAGGTGGGCCGCTGGTGGCGGGGGGCGGGGGCGGCACGCTCTGGGCTGCACCCTCCTGCTGCACACAACTTCGCCATGCTCGCGCTGCCGATGTCGCCAAGCTGATATCCCGCCGCGCACCCCTATCCTGCCCCTGCCTGCCGCTTCCGTTTGTGCAGCGAGGGCGCGCTGCGTGAGCTGCCCCCCATCGCCGGCGGCGCCGAGTACGTGATGCCGCCAGGCGAGGTGGCGGCGCGCCGCGACATGCGTGGCGCGGAATACCTCACCTGCAGGTGGGCGGCGGGCTGGCGCACCTGCGGCTGGCCCTGTGGTGCGACAGCGCTCAGATGCGAGGCGGTGCCTGGTGGGCGCTGCGCAGCCGGTGCCTGCAACCTCCGGCACACCGCACCCCCGCCGCCGCCCGCAGCATCGACCCCCCCGGCTGCACCGACGTGGACGATGCCCTGTCTGTTCGCTGGCTGGAGCCAGGCGGTGGCGGGCCGCGGCTGGCGGAGGTGGGGGTCCACATCGCCGACGTCTCCTTCTTTGTGCGCCAGGTGAACAATAGGCGGGGTGGGTGGGGGTGGGTGGGGGCGTACACCAAGAAGGTGGAGGAGTAGGGACACGCGTGGGGTGATGCCGGCCAGCAACTTTCAAGAGCACACACGCGAGCATCCCACTCCACGCCGCTGGCAGGACCCGAGCCCCCACCTGCCCGCCTGCCTGCACGCCTGACTCCATCCCCCGCGCAGGGCGGCCTGCTGGACGGCGAGGCGGCGGCGCGCTGCACCACCGTGTACCTCGTGGACCGGCGGCTGGACATGCTGCCCGCGCTGCTGAGCGAGGACCTGTGCAGCCTGCGCAGCGGCCAGGGTGCGCGGCCGGGGCGGCGCCGGGGCGGGCAGGGCACCGGCCCTGGCGTGGGGGTGGGGTGGGGTAGGGTGGGGTGGGGTGCCGATGAAACTTTAACGGGGTAGGAGCTAATGTGTATGTGCCCACCAGCTCTGACCTCTGCTGCCAACCCTGCCCCGGCTGCCTGGCTGCCCTGCCCGTCTCTGCCTCGTGCCGCCCGCAGACCGCTACGCTGTGAGCGTGGTGTGGACCCTGGATGCCGACAGCCTGGAGGTGCGGGACGTGTGGTTTGGGCGCACGCTCATCAGGCAAGACTGGGTCGTAGGGCGCCCTCGGTGCTTGCAGCCAGGCAGGCCCCGGCCTGCCCCACCCCGGGCCGCACCCTCAGCCTGGCCCCTGGTGTCGTGCCCGGCGCCGCCATCTTTGTGGGCACGCAGGGGTGTCCTGCTCGTGCCCGCATCATTGCGACATCTCCACACCTCACCACCACACCACACACCACACCGTACACACACCGCACAGCCCTCTGTGTCCTGCTGGCGCAGGTCCCGCTACCAGCTAGAGTACTCCCAGGCTCAAGCCATCATGGAGGGCAGGCCGCAGCCGCTGCAGCCGGCGTCGCAGCACGGCGGCGGCGGCACCGGGGAGCAGGCGGTGCCGGCGGCCGACCTGCCGCCGCTGCAGCGCAACCTGCGCCTGCTGGCGGCGCTGGCTGAGCACCGCCGCCAGATGCGGCTCCAGGTGAGGCCCTGCGGTGGGCCTGTCAAGTGCAGCGGGCACCACAGGCGGTGTGCAGGCTTGCGGTCTGCCAACGTTGCTGCGCCCAGCATGCTCCCGGCTGCCTGCCCGGTGCACCCACTGAGCACGGCTGTGCACCGCGCCGCTCGGATGTGCTGCAGGACGGCGCAGTGGAGCTGGAAAGTGCGGAGCTGCGCTTCAAGACCGACCCTGCCGGCCAGCCTACGGGCGTGACGGTCAAGCAGGCACGGTGCTTGTTGGAGGAGGGACTGCAGGGCAGCAGACTGCCGCATTGCTTCCACCAGTGCCGATGGATTGGTGCCGAGTTTTGATTCTTTTTACTCCACATTGCCCCATCCTTTCCTCCCCCGCAGGAGATCCCCATGATGCGGATCGTGGCCGAAATGATGATCCTGGCTAATGCGGCGGTGGGGCGCCGCGTGCACAACGCCTTCCCCCGCGCCGCGCTGCTGCGCCGCCACCCGCCGCCGCGGCGGGAGGCGCTGGCCGAGGCAAGAAGCGCGGCTGGGCATGGGGCAGCGAGGGCAGCAAGTGGCGGGGGTTGGGAGGCAGCGCACAGGAGACCTTCGCCCGCTCTCCCCATCTGCTTGCTCTGCCGCAAAGCTGGCCTTTCCCATCCCACACCCGGCACCCCTTCCCCTTCACGCCCTGCGCCTGCAGGTGGCTGCCCTGTGCGAGTCGGTCGGGCAGCCGCTGGATTTCGAGGGCGGCGCCGCCGCGCTGTCTGCGTCGCTGGCGGCGGCGGCTGCTGCTGCGCCCTCCGCTGTGTCCAGCCTCATCAAGTCGCTGGCTACCAGGGCCATGAGCGAGGCAGAATATTTCTGCACAGGTGGGCAGGGCCGGAAAGGGCCTGAGGGGCAGAGACCGGAGCGTTCAGCCTGGGGGGCAGGTTGGGAGGGATGGTGGACGTGGCTATTTGCGGCTTTGCAAGTCCTTGCATATGTGCTCTGCTGGGATCCCTCACCGGCAATTGCAGTCAGGCTAAGCTTGAGAGGCGGCGTGTGCGTCAACCTCTTCCTGACCTGGCCAGGGCCTGCTGCCTGTTATGCCTCCATGCGCAGGCGACGTGACGGGGCGGGGCGGCGGCGGCATGAGCCACTTTGGGCTGGCGCTGCCCTTCTACACACACTTCACCTCGCCCATAAGGTGTGTGTGTGTGGGTGTGGCGGTTGGTGATGATGATGTGTGTGTGTGTGATGGGGTCTGGGGGCACTATGCTCTTTACGCTGCACCTGCCCGCCTGCTGCCGATGTGCCTGCTGCCGAGGCCCCCGCCGGCGCAGTCATGCTGCCACTCATCGCCGCCCCGCGATGTGCTGCTGCGCTGCGCAGGCGCTATGCCGACGTCGTTGTGCACCGCCAGCTGCTGGCGGCGGTGGCAGCAGCTGCAGCCAGCAGCAGCCCTGCCCCGCTGCCCCAGGCACAGGTTGCAGCGCGGCCCAGCCCAGCCCAGCTACCGGCCTTGCTGGCGGCGGCGCCGCCGCCGCTGCCCGGCCCAGAGGTGGCGGAGCGTGCGGCGGTGATGAATGAGCGGCACCGCACCGCCAAGCGGGCGCAGAAGGAGTGCTCGGATCTGTACCTGCTGCTGCTGCTGCACGCCCAGGTGCCCGCCGCCATGCAGCGCCTGCTGCTTGCCAGGCATCGCCCACGCTTGCTCCATGGCCGGCGGCCTGCTTGCCGATTGCGCCCCCAGATTTGCGCCCCGCCCTGACCCTGGCGGTGCCCCGCCTGCTCCTCCCCGGCCACTGCGCCCTGCAGCCACATGTAGAGGCGGCCACCATTTACGGCCTGCGGCCCCAGGCCCTGCTGGTCTTCCTGCCCAAGTACCACCTCAAGGCAAGGGGAGGCGGCGGGGCCGGCTGGGCCAGTGCTGAGGGTTGCCCAGAAGGCGGCGCTGCCGCCGGCAAGCGTCAGACGCACGCCGCCATGTGGCCTGCCTGCTTGGCAGCCCCCCATGCCTGCCGACCCTGCGTGGCTTCCCCCGCTCTGCTGGTCCCCAGGGCGTGATCCACCTCACAGACAAGGCGGGCGTGTGCAAGCCGCCGCTGCGGCAGCCGGGCGAAGAGCAGCTGGAGGAGCCCTTTGTGCTGGCCTACCGGCGAGGGCTGGCGCTGGTGGCAGAGGGCGGCGGCGGCGGCGAAGGTGGGGAGAGGGGCCAGCAGATCGCCTGCCCGTCGGCACGCCGGCGCATTGTCTCGTGCACTGCACGCCTCCTCAGGCACCGCTGCATCTGGCGCCGCCATGCCACTCCATCTCATGTGCCCCAGCCGAGCCTTGCTCTGCTGTTTCTCTGTGCTTCGCATTGCAGATGCCGCCCTGCGGCAGCTGAGCGTCGTGGAGGCGGCCAGCGGGCGCCAGGTGGCGGCGTATCGCCCCATGCAGCGTTTGTGGGTGCAGCTGTCGGCGGATGGCAGCCGGGCGCACGGCCCCCGCCTGCGAATGCGGCTGCTGGCAGACGAGCACCCCGCCGCGGTGCAGGCGGCCGAGAGGGAGGCCGCAGAGGCGGCTGCGGCAGGCAGAGGTCAGGGAGGAGGAGGGGTGGATGCACCAGGGTGTGGCAGCTTGCCAAGGCGGGGAGCAGCGCGGCCGGCCTACCGACCGCCTGGCGTCGGCACCGCAGCAGCAGCTAGCGAGGCGGTGGGGCGGCTTGGCGCCCCCGCAGCAGCGCGCGGCCCGCCGCCTGGTTTCGAGCCCGTATCGGCACAAGCGGGGCCAAGTGAAGGCGCCTCTTCTGGCGACCTGGCAGGCCCTAGCGCAGCAGCAAGTAGCAGCAGCACGGCACCGACAGAACCGCAGTCCCTAGCAGCGCAGCTACATGCATTCCTGGAGCAGCAAGGCTTAGAGGCAGGGCAGGCCGGGCCGCTGGCTTGGGAGGTCACCCTGCCGCCTCTGGACCAGCTTCCCAGCAGCTGCAGCAGCAGCATGGGCGACAGCGCCCATCGATCAGCGCATGCAGCTCTGCGGCGGGCGATGCGCCAGCTGGAGACCCGCGCCGCGCGGCTACAGCTGCGTGCTGGCGTGGGCGCCCCCGGCAGGCCACGCACCGAACAGTGCAGCGCGGCAGCCGCAGCGGTGCGCCAGCAGATCCTGGCCCTGCAGCAGCACCTGGTGCCTGGCTGACTCCACTTGTGGATTGTGTTGGAGCCACAGCGAGGTGCGGGCAGGCAGCGACAGGTAGCGGCAGGCCGAGATGCAGCAAGTACATGCGTACTACAGCTCGGCCGTGAAGGCCGCCGAATTGCGTGCCGGCCAATATCAACGCTTCACATGCTGCAACTACGTGTTGTGGGATAGAGAGGGAGCGTGCGAGGAGCGACAGCGAGTTTGCCTTCAGGAATGTGGCTCGTCCTGGTGTGGCTGGATGGGTAGCGGCTCGTCTTCAGGCCTAGAGAATCGCCTCAGGCATCCAACACTCGCTCTCCAAGGCTGTCCGCACTGGTGAGTCGCCCAACCACCTCTCGCATGGGAGTCGCGCCCGGCCGCTGCCCAGCTCGCCAATCAACGAATTGCCGGATCCTCCGGTATCATTTCGCCGCGCCGCAGGCCAGGCCTCCGCGCCCGCACTTCCTCTGTCATCGGCGGCGCCGCCCGCTCATCAACCGCACGTAGCTGAGCGGCGCGCACAGTTTGTGGTCATGGCGCCCCTGCTGGTGCTGCTCATCGTGGTGCCGCCCCTCCTGCTGATTGTGGGCATTGGAGTGGGCGTGGCAGCCGCGCGCTGGTGGTGGGGGTGGCGCTGGGCCGGCGCGGCGGCGGCGGCGGCAGCGGCGGCGGACGAGGAGCAGGGGCTTGGCTCTGGTGTCTCCACCGCCGTACCCTCCTCCTCCACAGCAGCAACTGCGGACCTGCCGCCGGGGCGCAAGGCCAGCAAGGCGGGGCCGCTCAGCATCCACATTGTCGCCTCCAGCTGCTCCCTGCCGCTGCCCAGCCGCTCGTCGGCGCAGCTCAGTGCGGATGCCCTGGCGCCGCTGGAGCTGAGCCTGGGCTCAGCCTCGGCCTCGCCGCCGCTGGCGCAGCGCCTGGCGCGGCCGCCCCCGCTGCAAACGCCCGACCCCACGCTGCCGGATGAGGACTGCGGCGAGCAGGCGGCGGCGGCGGCAGCAGCGGCGCCGCACCGCCGCCTGGTCAGTCTGACCAGCCTGGGCGGCGGTGCCATCAGCCCGCTGGCCCACCGCAAGACACTGTCCCTGGACCTGGGGCAGCTGGTGCGAGCAGGACCTGGAGTGATCAACCAGGTGCGAGGCGCACGGCGGTGGCTGGCAGGGGCAGGGGCCATGCATTGCCAAGGCCTCCTCCCCTCAGCTGCCGCTGGCTTTGCACAAGCGGCTGCTTCACCGCTTGATGCCGTGTGCTGACCATGGCTTGGCTGCTCTCTCAACCACCAACCAACTCACCGCAGGTCATGGAGGACTGGGAGGCCCGCAGTACACTGTACCGCCTCATGTCGATGGACGGCGGCGCCGCCTCCGCCTCCTCCCCGCACGCAGCCGCAGCCGCGGCAGCGGGAGTGCTGTCCCCTGCCGCTGCCGTGCTGTTCAGCCCTGTGGCGGGGGGCGGCGGTGGCGGCAGCGGGGCAGGAGGCGGGGTGGGGGGCGCGATGCCCAAGGGGGAGGTGCACATGGATGAGATCGACCTCATAGAGTGCATCGGCAAGGGCGGCTACGGGTGAGCAGCGGCCATGCGCTGCTGGCCTCTGGGCTGCTGCTGTGCGGGGAGACAGCCAGGCACCTGGGAGACAGCCAGGCAGGCACCCGTCCCCGCCTGTGCCTGCCTGCCTGCTGATCGGCGGCCTTCTGCCCGCTGCCTGCCCGGCCCACCTGTCCTTCCCCCACCCCGCTGCAGGTGTGTGTACAAGGCCAGCTGGCGCGGCGCGGGGGTGGCCGTAAAGTACATTGTGTGCCCCACAGACGACGCCGACAGCCTGGGGCGCGCCATCCGCGAGGTGGTGCTGTCCCGCAAGATGAGCCACCCCAACGTGGTGCAGTGCTACTCCTGGACGGTGCTGACAGGTGGGTGGGCGGGTGGCGGTGGCCGGTGGTGCAGGGGTGCAGGGGTGCAGGCATGTGGGGGCGCGGATGTTGTGACAGGAAGCTGCGCTGCGGGTCTGTGGGGCTGTGCCGGCTGCGGCGACGATTGCCGCCACTTCTGCGTCGCCTGCCTGCAGAGAATGAGGGGCAGCAGTGCCGCACCCCCAGCACCCGCTCCGGCCTGGCCTCCCCAGCAGACCAGTCGTTCACGGGGGGGCGCCAGCGAGTCTTGCGCCACCTGGCAGGCGCCGGCAGCGGCAGCCGCTCCCGCCGCGCCAGCCTGGACGTGCTGCGCCCCGGCTCGGCGCGGCGCGGCCTGGACCAGCGCTTCTCCTGCGCCGCCGTGGGGCCCAGCGGCGGCGGTGGGTGGCGCCGCCGCCGACGCCTCGCAGCGGCGGCAGCAGGCTGTGGGCGGTGCAGGCACTCGTGGCCTGTGCGCCTGCCTCTGCCGCCCGTGGCCTTCTTTCTGCCTGCCCTGCCTGCCTGACCTGCCCGCTGTCCTCCTCCTTGCCCCGCGTGCCGCCATCCTGGCGTGCCGCCTGCAGGCACTCCGCGCTCGCCCAGCAGCCTCGCGCTGCACCGCATCACGGAGCACCCGCATGAGCTGCACGAGGGGCAGGAGAGCAGCGAGGCAGCAGAGGTGGCGGCCTCGGCGGCCGCCTGGATGGCGGCGGGGCCTGGCATGCGCGCCGGCTCCACTCTGCCGCGCCCCACCGTGGATTCGGTGGTGGAGGAGCTTGTGGCGGAGGCTGCGGCAGAGCTGGAGCGCGAGCAGCAGCAGGAGGAGGAGGAGGAGCAGCAGCAGAAGCAGCAGGAGCAGGAGGGGCAGCAGCAGCAGAGGCAGGAGGAGGAGCAGCCGCCGCCGCAGCAGGAGGAACGCGGCTCCGCCAGCCCCGCCAGCCTGCCCCCGTCCCCAGAGGCGGTGGGCGTGGCGCCTGGCGGCGTGGCCAAGCCGCTGCTGAAGCTGGCGCTGCAGCCGCTTGGCAGCTGCAGCCCCAACGGCAGCCCCGGCATCCAAGCGGTGCACCCGCAGCAGATCCTGCAGGCCGAAGAGCCAGCAGGGACGGCAGCAGGAGCCACCTCGGAGGAGCAGCAGGTGGCCGGGGCGGCTGGCCTGCCTCCCTCTCCGTTTGCAGCGGTCGATGTGCAGGCGGTGCCACCGCGGCGGTCCACCAGCGAAGGCGCTGCTAGCGGCGTGCAGCACCGGCTGGTGCTACCGTTTGGCGGGGACGGGGCGGTGGCAGTAGGGGCTGCTGCGGAGCAGGGGCCGCCGCCGCCGCAGTCATCTTCTGAGGGCGAGGATGGGCAGGATGTGTATGCCTGCTTTGGCAGCTATGAGGAGATGGTGGCTCACTTCCAGAGCCTGGCGGCTGGAGGCCAGCTGGCCCTGCCAGCTCAGCAGGAGGCGCAGCAGCAGCGGGCGCCAGGCGCACCAGGGGCGGTGCCTGTTCCGGCGGCGACTGTGCCGCTCAACATGAGCCGCAACGGCAGCGGGCAGCAATTGAATGAGTATGACATGACTGCCGCCTCCTCCTTCTCAGGTGGGACAGCGCTGGGGCAGCAGGGCGTTTTGTTTGCGGACGGGCAGACGCGCTTGCGTTCCTGCGTTGGCAGCGCCGCCTTTGCCCAGGCACACAGCCCACCACCTCCCGGCCCCGCACATGCATTGCTGGCGGGCCTGGACCACGGCAGCGCTGGGTCCTTGTCTTCATCCCCTCACCTTTCTTCCTTCCCTCTGCGTGCCCCTGCAGACGTGCTTAGCGCCAGCGGCTTCATGCTGGAGGGCAGCGTCAGCGGGGTGGACCTGTCCCTGGTCCCCTCCAACCCCGCCTCTCCCGCCCACCGCCAGCGGTCGGGACACAGCAGCTGGCTGCCACCCTCCTCGGCAGCAAGCTCCCGGGCCCTCACACCCAAGAGCGCCACCGCCGCCTCCGCCGCCGCGGCGAGCACATTCAGCCGGCTGTCGCGGCCGGCTCCGTGGACGGCGGCGCAGCGGCAGCAGCGGCGGCAGCAGCCGCTGGGCAGCAGCGGGCTGGGTGTTGCGCTGGAGCTGGCTGCGGGCATGCCACCACCGGCGTGGTGGCAGGCAAGCAGCGGCGCAGGCGCAGAGGCGCCTGGCCAGGGCCAGCTGGGCGGGGTGGTGGCTTCGACAGCAGCGGCCCAGCTGGCGGCGCGGCGGCTGAGCAGCGAGAGCATCGAGCCGCGGTCGGAGCCGCTGTCTATGGAGGGGGGAGGCGCCAGCTGCCGCAGCAGCCGTGACGTGCCTGCGGGCGAGGCCAGCGCAGCGGTGAGGGCCATGCTCGGCGGCCTGCACTGCAGCAGCACCATTTCGCTGGCCATGTGGCAGCCCGCGGGAGGCGCGTCAGCAGCAGCCAGCCGTGGCTGCAGCCTGGACCTGCATGGGAGGCCCCCAGGCAGCAGCCTGGACCTGCAGCGCCAGTTCCGGGCGGGCAGCAGTAGCAGCAGCAGCATGGCGCTGCCATATGGCGCAGGCAGCCGTGGCGGCAGCCTGGACATGCGGTTCGCGTTCGGGCAGTTCCGTGGCGGCAGCAGCAGTAGCCTGGCGCCTCCAGCGCCGTCGGCACCGTCGTCGGCAGCCTGTCAGTCGGCCTCGGAACAGAGCCGAGACACCAGCATAAGCTGCCTGGAGCAGCAGCGCGTGCCAGCGCCGCGGGCGTCGTCGCTGGGTGCGGACAGCGGCAGCGTGACGCCCCGCCTGGGCAGCCTGTCCAGCCTGGCGGCGGTGGCGGGATCGGTGGTGGGAGCGGACTCCTCGCTGGCTGTCACGCCGCGGCAGCAGAGCCTGCGCAGCAGCAAGTGCACCCCCAGAGGCCTGCTGCGGGTGGAGGAGCTGCGAGCCGAGGCGGCGGCGGCGCTCGGCGGCGGCGGCGGCGGCGGCGGGGAGGTTGCCCCTGCCAGCACCGACCGCCTCTCCCTGGGTTCTCACAACGACTCCTTCAATTCGGAGGAGGGCTTCGGCTCGCCGGTCAAGCAGAGACGTGAGCCCCGGGCCGGCTGGCGCTGCGCCGTGCTCTGGCTTGAGTTGCAGGCTCGTGCTCTGTGCCCGCGGGGCGTTGCGCCATGCTCTGGCTGGGGAGGCGCCTGCCCCTGCCCACCTGCCGCCGCCCTGCCATCCCTGCCCCGCAGGCGGCGGCGTCAAGGATGTGTTTCTGCTGGAGGAACTTGCGTTGGAGGGGCAGGAGGCGCTGATGGTGGTGGTGATGGAGTATTGCGACCTGGGTGGGTGGGGCGGGGGTGGTGGTGGTGGTGGTGGTGTAGGTGCGTGGTGGTGGGGTTGGTGGGCGCGGTGGTGTGTGCGGGGGCAGTGGCGATACAGGCGAACAACGGCTGGCGGGCGCCTGGCGGCACGGGACAGCACGCCTTCTCCCCACCCCCACAATGCCGTCTGCGCCCTTGCCGCAGGCTCGCTGCGCAAGGCGCTGAAGCGGCGCGCCTTCCGCCCCAGCCCCAAGTGGCCCTTCCAGACCACCTACGTGAGGACCAGCCGCCCGCCGACCCCTGCCTGCTGCCTGTAGATCGGCTTGCCGGGCAGCAAGCCACACTGCTGGTGCCGTGCCTGCTCGGCCGGCGCGTGCGCCTGCCTGCCTGCCGATTTCTGCTGTTGCTTCACCCCACGCCCTGCTGTGCAGCGCGCCCTGCTGCGCACCGCCCAGGAGATAGCCAAGGGCATGGGATACATCCACGAGTTCAACATAGGTGGGTGTAGCTGGGTGTGGGCGGCGAGGTGCTGCTTGTGACAGGGCGGGAGCATGGGGTGCGGATCGGGCGCCAGCGAAGGCGCATGCCGGCACGCCTCCCTGGCGATGACGGCACGCTCCTCCCCCAAGCACATACCCTGTCCCTGCGCTCACAAGTACCCCCCCCCCCCCCCCACCACCACCAACCTGCAGTGCACGGCGACCTCAAGCCCGGCAACGTGCTGCTGAAGACGCACAAGGTGGACAGGCGGGGCTACATCGCCAAGGTGTCCGACTTTGGGCTGAGCCGGGCGCTGGACTTCGAGGACACGCACGCCAGGTGGGTGGTGGTGGGCGATGTGGAGGAAGGGGCCTCGAGGGGGCTTTGAGCCAGGTAGAAGGGGCTGCAGCATGGGTGGCGTCTGGGGCATGACAGGTGGTGCCACGAGGGCAGCAGCGCCCGCGTGCAAGCAAGCAAGCTGCAGGAAAAGACCTTTCCCCGCTGTTCAGCTTTGTCGCCCTGCCGTTGCTGCGGCTTCTGCTGGCCGCCGCGGCAGCACCGGCCAGCTGCATGCCGCCCCACCCACCGTGCGCCTGCCGCCTGGCTGCCTCCCGCTGCCGCCTGCGTGCAGCCTGGACGCCACGCTGGGCACCATTGCCTACACCGCCCCCGAAACCTTTGCCCACAACTGCCTCAAGAAGCCTTCCGATGTCTATGCCTTTGGAATCATGCGTGAGTGCCCCCCTTGCCGGTTAATCCTTACAGGCACACTGTTCTGCCACTGCAGCTTGGGGCGGACGCCGCCTAACTCTGCACGCTTGTGCGGGATGCTGCACTGGTGGGCCGTGGCTGGGGGCAGGCGTTTCCACGCCGCCACCGCACTGATGGGCACCCTGCCCTACCCAGCCTCTCCCCCTTGCCCCACGCGCCCCCTGCTGCAGTGTGGGAGATGTTTTATTGCTGCGACCCGTATGAGGGCCTGATGGACGGGCAGATCTGCGTGGGGGTGACAGGTGGGCAGGGCGGGGGTCCCGGCAGGCGTTGCAACGCAAGCAGAAGAAGCAGAAGGAGCGGGCAGGCGGGTGGGCATGGGGGACCTTGCCTCTCTGCTGAGTGCTTCCGCCGCCATGCTTCCTTCCCTTGTTCCTTTCAGATGGCAGCCTGCGCCCCGAGTTTGACATCGACTGCCCCGATCCCTACCGCCGCCTGGCGGAGAGGTGCTGGCATCAGGACCCAGAGTGAGCCCCCTACCCCCGTCTGCCTCCCTCAGGACACCCTTCCCCGATCCCTGCACCACCTCGACTTTGCCAGCAACCTGATCCTCACCTCTCTGCCGTCCCGCCTTTGTGTCCTCACTCCCTGCAGGCGGCGGCCCAGTTTTGAGGAGGTGGATGCGGAGCTGGTGCGGATCGAGATGGAGTTCAGGCTGGCCTGCCACCGCACAGCCACCGCCAGCAAGCGCACCTCCACGACGTCGCAGAGCGGCGGCTCTGCGCCGCCCTCGCGCCCCGGCAGCCCCGAGGTGCAGCCGCGGTGCGGGGTGGCGGCGGGCGGCGGCGGCGCCCTGGCGCGGCAGCTGCAGGCGGCGGCGCTGGCCGACTGACAAGGCCCGGTAGCGGCGGGCGCTCTGGTGCGCGAGGGAGCTCTGGTGCGCGAGTGAGCTGCATCTCGCCGTCTGCATGGAGTGCCGTGCTAGAAAAATGAACACATGCATAACCTGAGACCCAATCCATGCTCATCGGGGGCCCTAGCTGGCAACTGAGGGCCTTCCTCTGCTGCGGCCTCCATGTGGCCTCCTCCCCCAAGTCCTTCCCAAAGGCTCATGCTGTTTCTTCCTGTTGCTTACCCCTGCTCCCTTACTCTTCCAATGAATGACAGACAGACAATTTGCAGACTACTTGAAAACGATCAGTGACGTTTTCCCACCTTTGTAGTCGCCTGCCCCATTTTTCCTGAATGCTGCTCATCATGGAGCATGCCTGGCGGCTCCCCCTAGCAGTTGTCCTACTCGAATCAAGACCGATATACAGTGATATGCAGTAGTGAGAGAATTTCAGGCAGTTTTGTGTAATGCACAAATGTTAACCATAACAGTGGCTCAGCTGGGGCCTTCCGTTGGGTGCGGCAGTCCTCGCCCCGCCCCAGCTTGCGCCGCTGCTGCGCCGCCCACACCCTCCCCCTCTTCCCGGCTGCTAGCTGCTGGCTCGGAGGCCTTGGTGAAGCAGATGCGCTTGTCGGTGTGTCCCACCAGGTGCACGCGGTGGCTGCCGTCACCCGCCACTGCATCTGCCAGGATCAGCTGGGTGCCCACCGTCTCCTCAAACGCGCCCACCAGCCGCGTGCCATCCGCCACCTGAAGCACCGGCTGCTGCGTCTCCATGCCCTGCGCAGGGAAACGCGTAGCGAAATGGTGGGCTCGGCCACGGGTAGCACAGAGGCTGCCAGCGAGGGAAGGCAGGCAGCTAGGCGGCCGCAGCAGTGCGGCGGCAAGAGGCGGCAGGCGGCGCGCCTGCAGCAGTAACCGGGAGCCGGGCGGGGGCAGCGCTTCTCGATCCGCAAGGTCCAGCACCACATATACCGACTCCTCCGGCCCTGCGAGCGCACACAGGAAAAAGCGGTGATGCGGTGGCAGTCGAATTGAGTGGAGTAGACGCCTCCGCGGCCTTAGAGGGGTAGGAGACCGTGATCCCCACACAAGAAATCCTCGCTGCCCTTTCCCGCTCACCCTGCGCGGCGGTTGCCATGTGATGGGAAAACGCGGCGTGTCCAAGCCTCCCACAAGCACAGATGGTGGTCGGTCTTTTATATTGAACACGCTTGGGGCCTTGTCCTCGGATCTCAGGTGTCAAGCCCTGCCTAGCATGCCTAGCAGGAGGGCGCCGGCGAACCTTACCGCTCCTCCCTCGAGGTGCAATAACCCAAGACAGGCTATGCAAGCAATAGTCCGAACAGGCATGTGCATCTAAATCGCACACCTGCTGCTCAATTACTGCACACCTGCTGCTCATTTATCATGCCGCCCGCTCTCACCTGTGCGATGAGCGCGGAGCAGGCGGGCTGGCCCAACACCTGCACCTCGATCAGCTGCGGCACCAAGTACACTGCGTCACTGCACCTGGCGCTTGGCACACCGCAGATACTTGGACCCTCCAGCTGTACCCCGGGGCGGGCAGGTTGAGGTGGAAGGTGTGCCGCCTGCGCCACACCATCGCCGTCGCCGCTGGGTCACCTGTGTATTCAGCAGAAACTTGTTGCAACGGCCTCTCTCGAGAGCTCTCTCTCCATCGAGAGATTCTGTGCCACCACGTGCGTGCTGCTCGTGTGATGGTGGTTTCACAGCCGTGGGTGGCTGCTACTCTGTCAGAGCACACTTGCTGCCGTTGCTGCTGCTGCTCAGCATCGCTGCTCGCCCTGGCACCCAGCCTGCTGCTCTCCTGGCACCTGCAGCGCCGCACCTGCAGCGCTGACCCCACTGAGGAGTTTCCTGCCTGAGCTGTGCAAGCGATGGCAGCTTCAGGTGTGAGAGCAAGACATTGCGCTGCTGAGCAGCATTATGGTGATGAGCATGGGCGGCGGCGGCGGCGGCGGCGGCGGCCACACAAAGCTGCTGAGCTCCATGTGTCCTATTGAGCACACCAGTGGCCCCAGGGCTCCCTGCCTGCAGGTTCCTCCCAGCCGCTCTGCCGCATCTGCTACGCCCCTGCTGACGCCCGGGCACAGGGCGGGCGGATGCTCACGCCCTGTCGCTGCGGCGGAACGATGGCACACATCCACGTGAGTTGCCTGGCGGCCTGCCAGCAGCACAGCCGCACACCCTGGCGCTGCGAGATCTGCGGCGCACGATACAGCCTCCAGCACCAGCCCCGCTCCTTCCAGACCTGGGCGTCTGCTGCCCTGCTGTGCGCGGCCCTGGTGGCTTTGTGCGCTTTGGCGGGCGTGGCGGGCGTGGCAGACGCCGCGGTGCACCAGAGGAGAGCCATGGAGCGTGTGCGGCGGCAGCGCGCGCGGCAGGTGTTTGGCACGAGCGCCCTCCTAGGAGCGGCGGCGGTGGTCAAAGCGGCGCTGGCTGGGCCCCGCCGCCTGCCACCTGGCATGTGACCCCACAGCACCAGGTGCCAGGGGCACTTCGGCTGGGCGGCTGCAGCGCGAGCGCTCAGCCTGTCCCCCGCTTTGCATTGGGACCGCTGTGTGCATCCCGTCGCCCATGTCTGCAGCCAGCTGGCTGCAGCACGCGCACCAATATTGCGGTGACTGGTCCTGGGACTCTGCGTTTTTTGCAGTAGGAGATGTAAAGGCACGGGCAGCATCGAAGCGGGCGGCAGGCCGACAGGCAGCGGCGGCGGCGGCGGCGAGTGAAGTCACCCTGCGCAATGATCGGATCTCACTCACTTTGTTGCCCTACGGATCAGTACTCAAAAGCACTTCAACGCCGCTGCCAGAGCGTCGACGAGCACGGATGAAGAAAGGCCTCGGGATGGGGCTTTTCTCAGCCCACATGCTCACCTGCAATGCATTCGGGCCTCCACTCGCCTTGGGAGCCACGTCTGGCCCTGGAGAACAGAGAGCACGGGCATGGCTCCCGCGCCCGGCACCTCCGTGCCTGCGGCTTGGGCTGCCCTGCTGAGAGAGGCGCAGCAGGGCACGGAAGCGGCGCGGAAGATCTACGAGGGCGCTTTGGCCACCAAGAAGGGGCCCGGCCTGGACGAGGCACTGCACCAGGTGGAGCGGCGGCTGAGGGCAGCCGCCGGTTCCACAGCCCCTGCCGCCGTCAGCGCCCCGATCAGCCAGTCCATTCCCAGGCCTGCGGCGCCGATTGCTCGCCGCAAGAAAGGGGCCAGCGCAGGCGGCGCATGCCGTGGCACTGGCCGGAATGCCAGCGCGGTGCGCGGTGGCAACGGCACCACCGGCGGCTTGGCAGCGACAGGTCCAGGCGCGGCATCCTCCCAGGAGCTCCTGCCCCTGCACATTGTCAAGGTCAAGCTGTTGGTGGAGAAGGCAGCGGAGGCAGCCCTGGCGGGGCAGGACAGCCCGGCCTGCCGTGCGCAGGTGCTGGCGCTGCTGTGCGCGGCCCAGACAGAGGCATCAGCCGCCCTGCAGCGCCACCCCAGCCTCATGCTGTATGCTCTGGCAGGCTGCCTCATGGAGCTGACGGCTGGCTGCAGCGGCGGCGCACTGGACGCCTGCTTGGAGGCCTGGCAGGCGCAGCTAGCAATGTGTGATCTGCAGCAACAGCTCCCCCTTGCCTTCTCAGAGGTGGACACCCGGCAGCATGCACGGGCCATGTGGCCGCTGGATCCCCCACCTGGCAGCGGCACCAGCGAGAATGCGCTCACGCAGGTCAGCGAACGTGCGCAGCAGGCGGGCAACCAAGGCTTCGACCGAGCCAAGCAGCGCCTTGTCACGGCTTCCAAAGCCACCAGCTTTTTTAGCGATGCTGGCGACTGGCGCTGCCTGCGAATCATCCAGCTGGTCAGAGCCAACGAGGCGGCGCCAGAGCGGCTTCGGCGGCAGCAGCTGAGCGCCATTGCCGGGCAGAGCAGCAGCGCTTCTGCCAGTGGCAGCCGCAGCAGCCGCAGCAGCCCCGGCCGGTCGCAGCCAGAGCTCGCGCAGCAGGGGCAGGTACAGCTGGCGGAGCTGCCATACAAGGACAACGAGCGCGACCGCACCCTGCTGCAGCGCTTTGGCCTGCAGGGCGGCTGGCTGCGCGACCAGCTGCGGCGCAAGCTTGCCAGCAAGTATCCTGTGGAGCCTGCAGAGGCGGCGCGGATGCTGGCAAGCGCCACTCTGCCAGAGCCAGGCGAGGGTGCAGAGCAAGTCGGCGACGCTGCAGCCCCTCGGGGTGGCAGGGCTCTTGCCTCCAGCAGCAGAAAGAAGCGGGAGGAGGAGGATGCACAGTCCAGGGCAGACAAGGTCGGTGTGGCCGGGTGCAGCAATAGGCAAGGAGGCCTCGCAGCATGTGTCTGATTTCAGGGCATTGCGCAGCGGACGTGGTGAGATTTCTGGCACTTGTTTGCACAGTGTCCATTGTGCACCTGGTGCCCTGTCCGCAGATCCGCGGCTACCTGGCAAGCAGACTGGAGCAGCAGGAGGACGGAGACCAGGTGAGGATGCGGTGAGCAGACAGCTGCAGGGGGCGCATCCACGCAGCCACTCAACCTCTGCTGCATTTGCTGAAGGCTTCTGGGCTGGAGGCCCTGCTGGCGGAGGCGGCGGTGGCGACAGCAGAAGTGCTGGAGCGCGTGGCGCCCCACCTGAAGCGCCATGTCAGCAAGGTTGGCGCCATGTCACCGCCCTCAACGCTGCTGCCTCCCAGCCTCCTCTTGGGCCGTCTGTCAGCGACGCCATGGTGCAGGCAAGCCTGAATGCAGCGGCGCGCACCGCTTTCCTCTCTGCAGGCGGTTCAGGCGGCACTACAGGCACCCGGCGGCCAGCTGCCGCCAGTGGCCTACCTGCCGCCTCCTCTCCCAGCCAGCCGTGGCAGCAGTGCCGACTCGGGCCTGTTGCTCAACCAGCGCGAGTTTGAGGCGGCATTTGAGCAGTGTGTGCTGGACCCGCAGGCTTTTGAACGCCAGGTGAGCACTCTCGATGCGCCCGCATGCTGCATGTCAGCCTACATGGAAATCTTCAAGCGCATTCATCTGAAAGGACCTGGAGCTGCGCCTGCTGCAGGTCAACACCCACCTGTCAGACTCCCGGGATGCGACCTCTGTGGCAAGCGTGCTCGCCAAGCTGGGCGCCCACCCCAGGCTGCCACAGGCAAGCTTCACGCTCCTGTACTGTGGCCATGTCTGCTGGCACGCCCCTGCGTGCACTCGTATCGTGAGGCTCTTGTTACCAGCAGATCGCACTGCAACGGCCTAGCCGAATTACCTTCTGCTGTGCTCTGCAGACCCTGGCTGGTTCAAACTTGTTGAGCAACAGCTGCACCGATGGCAGCAACGTGCCAATTCCAGGCTCTGTCCCTGCGGTGCTTGCGCTGGCAGATGCCAGAGCTGTGATCGACTGGCTCACAGAGGAAAGGAAGCAGCAGGCAGCTGCATCTGGGCATGCTGGTGCAGCAGCAGACAACCCAGCGGCAGAGGACTGCCTGCTGGCAGCCACTGGGGTAAGCCCTGTCTGCAACTTTGGAAGGATTTGAACAACGTGTGCGGCCACGGTGATTCTGTGCGCTGTGTTGCCGACTAGCTAGCGCAGGTGCGGCGGGGCATCGCCAGCAGGCATGCAAAGTGCCTGGATTTCACAGTGCGACAGACCATTGAGCTGGCCAGTCGAGCTGCCATTCTGTGTGGTGAGACGCGGTCAGCCGGAGGAGGAGAAGACAACGGGCTGCCTTCAGGCAAACTGCGGACATTCTAGCAAACCAACGGCAGTGCTTGGGCAGCTCTTGTGTCCACCTGTTGACTTGCCTTGAACTCCTCACACCCCGCAGATGATAAGGTGGGGACCAGCGCTGACCTCGGCGTCTTGCAAGTGGTACGCATGCATGTGCCTGTGGGTTGCCATCTGCCAGATGCAAAGTTTCTCACCCCTCTGCTTCATCCGAGATGGCACACTCTGCCTGCAGGCTGGCGGACTGGACCGCCTCCTGTCCACCATGTCCTCCGGCCACCTGCAGCTGCACGCCGCTGCCGCTGCCGCTGCGGGGGACCAGGCACGCGCTGTGCAGGCGTGTGCCAGGCTTGCCCTGTCCAAGCAGGCGCATCGAGATGGGGTAACGGAAGAGGTGAGCAGCTCCTGCTGGCGAAAAGAAAGTGGTTTCGTTCAAGCATTGTGATATCATATGATATGTGTTTGAAGTGCCTTGCCACCCGCCCTGTGCCTGTCTGCAGTATGCCGAGGTGCAAGCGATCTACAACACGCCAGGCCCAGGCCTCAATGCCCACGCAATGGCCATGGCCTACTGGCACTGGCAGCATCTGCTGCAGGCCTGGCCAGCTGGCAGCAGGGCAGAGGTGCTGCAGGTGAGAATCAGGGGTGGCTCTCCCATCTGAAGTCGGCCCTGGCTCGCTAGTGGAAGCTACAGGGGAAATTATGCTGCAGCATGTAAATTCCAATCTCTTCTCGCCCGCTCATGCTCACACGTGACTCCTGTGTGCGCCTGTCCCCTTCCGCCGCAGGTGAAACAGAGAGTGGTGGATGGCTGTCTGCTGGCACTGCGGCTGTTGCAGACAGAGGGGCGCCTCGCAGGCGCCTGGCGTCGAGCAATTCTGGGCTATGTGAGCAGCCTATGCAGTAACACTGCCAGCAGCAGCGGCAAGGATGGCAGCACAGGCAGAATGAACTCCCAGGATCTGGAGAGCAGCCTTGGTTGCGCCCTGGGATGCGGGCACGAGAGCGGCCGCGGCCGGGATGAAGCAGAGGTTGCAGTGCAAAGTGGGCTGCGTCTCAACGAAGAAGCTCAAGGTGGTTTGCAAGTGCGCTGCATTGAGAGAGCTGCGCCGCCCGATGCTCACTGAGCATCATTAGCTCACTATTCACGGATGCAGGCCAGGATGATGTGGCCGAGCTGTCATGGCAGCCCCTGAGCCAGCTGGGCACCCTGCCGCTCGATGCACTCGTGCCGCTGCACGGCCTGTGCTGCTGGCTGGTGGGCTACTGCTTTGAGGATGCAGCAGACCACGGCGGCAGGGTGCAGGTGTGTGGGGGATGCCTATTCTCGACACATCAGTTCAGCGCTGCCCATGACCCTACAAGCCTGCCATCCAGCCTGGCAGCAACAAAACGCAGTGGGCCAAGGGCCGTGGTTTGAGTCCCTGGGGACGCGTTGCTGCTTGTCCTGACGCAGGAAGCCGTGGCGGCGGCTGAGAGCGTGCTTCAGTTCCAGGGCGGCGCTGTGGGGCTGTGTGCTGCCTCTGTGGATGCTGCTATGCACCCTGAGCAGGCAAGTTCGAAGAGGGGTGACAGGCAGGCATGATCATGGCTGCCTCATGCCACTCACTGGTTGCCATTGTTGAACCCTTCTCTGCATGCCTTGCCTCATGTGCTGCAGGGTGGGCCACCAGCCGGAGACCACCTCAGCGCCGACGGCTTCTGCCCACGTTGCGCCGCGCCGCGTAGGCAGGAGGCGGCGGCTGCGGATGTGGCCCGGGCACTGACAGACGTCGCGGTTGGCAGGTGCAAGATAGCTACCAGCGCCTTTCCCCCGGTGTCCCCTCCCCTGTCCAGAAGGCAAGAGGCAAAGCAGGCTGCCGCAGCAGGAAGAGGGCAATTCTTCGCAACGGCTCTGTCAATGGCCAGCTCGTCATTGCTCACATCTGTACACCTGCAGGGGTGGCGAGCGCATTGTGGAGATCTGCCAGTCAATGGCTTTCTGGGTGAGGTGCAGCTAACATTGGTACAGTACTGGTCTGCTGTCCGATTGTTCACTTGCACATAGTCACGTGCTACATACTTGCAAGCATTCCTGTGCAGGATGGCATCTTTGAAGCTGTGGTGAACAAGGTGGCAAACACTGTGAACGAGGCGCACGCCCGCCTCTGCGCCTTCGACGCTGCCGTTCAGCGCCTGCATACAGCGGTGAGCCAGGGGTGCCATACAGCTGTTGATTCTAGGGACGAGGCTCTGACGCACACAACACGCACGGCCGGCCTGCCACTCGTGCGATGGCTGCTGCTGTCCTACCGCAGGCCGAGGCCGAGGCTGCCACCCGCTCCAGTGCTCTGGCAGACCTCTGCCAGGCAGGCATCGACTTTGTGGCTGAGCTGGATGCTGTGGCCAAGCACTGCATCCTGCTGAAGGCGTTCACTGCGGCGGTACGGAGGAATGAGTACCTCAAGAGGCAGGCAGCCCTGCAGGCTGAGGCTGGGCCTGCAACCACCAAGTGAGTGTGCCCTCTCCTCCAGCTCAGCACAGCACAATTGTGCTTTGTCAGCTGCCAGTGTCGGGTGCCTGTAACCACAAGATGAAGTGCTTCTGGTGATTGCCCGACGCAGGCGTCACGAGGTTGCAGTGAAAGCCTTCCAGGCCCAGGTTGCAGTACCAGCTGGCCTAGCAGCCGCAGGCAAGCGCGTCCCTCACGTGGCAATTAGGGCGGGGGGTCATGCGGTGGGTTACGCTGTCAGGCATGGCCAAATTCACCAGCCGTGCTGCTGTTGCAGAGCTCTTTGAACAGGCTAACCAGGCCCGGAGGGACAGGCTGGCAGCTATGCTAGCATGCTCAAAACAACGTGGCGGTTTCCGCGCAGATCAGTGAGCGTCTTCGAGGACGCTCCAGCATCCGGCTGCTGCTTCCTGCATGGGTCTGTTGGTAGCGTGGTGCCGGCCGCACTTGTTGGCTTGCCCAAAACATGGGAGCTGCACTCTGATGAAGCGCTGCGCTGGGGCATGCGTGTTTTATGCTGCTGTGCAGGATGACGCCAGCTGTGCTGTGCCTGGCGCGCCACCAGCGTGCGGCCCGTACGTGGAGAGAGCAGCTTGAGGAATCCACAGATGTCATCGTGCAGGACATTCTGGACCTAGAGGGGCTGCACCATGCATTCCAGCGGCACGTGCTGAACCTGCGCAGGTGATCTCCAAGCTGCTCTCTCCCATCTTGCTCTGTTGTCTTGCCGCCATCGGGGGCACGTGTTCTCTCAGCCCTGTCCCGTTCTTCTGTGCCCAATAACTCATGGCGTGAGGCTAGCCTCTGCCACTACTGATTCTCCACTTCGATGGTGCTTGCTGAACCTGCAGGGAGCTACAGCTGTGTTTGTGCACTGTGCCGCTGCACCGCATGGTTCTGGGTGGCCTGCTGCGCCACTGCCTGGCCGAGCGCTGGGTGCAGGCAGCAGGTGAGAGGGCACGGGCTACTGTGGCTGCAGCAACCTGCCGGCTCCCCATCTGACTCACGCCTCTCCTCCGCTGCCTCCTGGTGCTGCTGCTGCAGAAACGCGCCCCAGCACCCAGCTGCTTGCAGCCAAGGCCCGCCGTGCCGGGCGTGTGGCACCAGCGGCAGCAGGGGAGGTGCCTGCAGCCAGCTGCTCCCCAGAGGAGAAGGCGGCCCAGCAGCAGAAGGCAGAAGCCGAGCTGCTGCTTCAGCTCGAGGAAGAGGAGGCTGCTGCAGCCCGCATGGTGCCCTGCTGCTGCTCCCTTCTAGCACGCTATCTGCAAAGCTGCTTGTTGGCTACAGTACTTGCTCGTGGTGTCCCCATTGCAAGCCGTGCCACCCCCGCTTGCAGGCTGCGCAGCGCAAGGCCAAGCAGGAGCAGCGGCAGAAGCAAGCTGCAGTTGCTGTGCTGGCAGCTGCCACGCTGGCACGGCCCATGGCCAGCAGCGAGTCAGAAGAGTCAGAGGAGGAGGAGGAGGAGGAGGAGGAGGAGCGGCAGGAGCAGGAGGAGGAAAAGCAGCAGGAGCATGAGGCGGCAGCATCCTTGCCAGCCGAGCAGCCGAGCAGTGGCAGCCAGTCGCCTAGGAGTCACCGGGCGCTGGAAGGAGGGGCTGAGGAACAAGGAAGGGAGCAGCTGCTGTGGCCTCAGGAGAGCCAGCATGGCGGGCAGCGGCAGAGTGCAGAGCCAGAGGCTTGCATCCTCAGTAGTGTGGACAGCAACAAGGGCAGCGCACCAGTAGGAGCAGTAGCTGCCCCCGAGCTAGCTCCCAGCACACCAGCCCTGCTGGCCGCCTCCCTGCCCCGCCATGACCAGCAGGCACCGCCGCCTGAGCAGCCATCCGCCAGCAACCCTACGCACAGCCCACAGCATGGTAGCGTGCCGCCTCGTTGCCAGCAGTCGATGACAGGAGGCCTGCCCCCTTCAGCGCCGCTGCCAGGCACACAGCCACATGCGATGGTCGGCGCCGCCGGCTGGGGTGCAGCACACGCTCTGTCATCGACCTCTGTAGCAGCAAGCAGTGTGGCAGCAGTAGCGATGGCGGCAGCAGCAGCGGCAGCGGTGGCAGCGGCGGCGCCGGCGGCCAGCCAACAGGTGCTGCAGCCCATCATGCCAGGTGCGGTTGGTGCTTTCTACCCTGCAGGAGCATGATTGAGCCTTCACCTCAGGTGGCGCTGCCGCTCCATTTTTGTCCTTTGTGCAGGCCTGAGCACGAGCTCACAGCTGCCACCACCCGCACCGCTGCCTGGCACCCCAGCCGGGCATGTGCTGCCAGGAGCAGCAACCGCCGGCAGCAGCGGCGAGGGCGGCGGCTGGTCTCTGTTCTCCTCCTTCCAGCCAGGCGGCAGCGGCAGCCCGCGGCTGCATAGTGGGCAGGGCGACACGCCTGGCCCAAGCATCGAGGGCTTGGCTGCACGGTACGCTGCTGGCGCCACAGCAGACAGTGCGAGCGGCGCCGGGGCGTCAGGCTTGGTGGAGGACGGCGGCTCTCTGGGCTCTGCCGACAGCCTCCCTGCCCTGTTGGGCATCGAGGGCGGTGCCCTTGGCTTTGGCGGCGGCCCCGACGTCGCCAGCTGGGACGGCAGCTGGGGAGTGGCAGAGGGCAGCTGGGAGGCCCAGGGCAGCCCGTGGCGCAGCCACCTGCAGGGCAGCTGGCAGCAGCCGCTGCCCGAGATGGTTGGCGGCGGCGGCGGCGGCGGCGGCGTGCAGCTGGCCCTGCCGGGGCTGCGCAACGACGTGGGCCAGTACAACTGCTTCCTCAACGCCGTGCTGCAGTGCCTGTGGCGCTGCGAGGCCTTCCGCCAGCAGGTGCAGGGGCGAGGGCGGCAGGGCCTAAAGTGCTGGATCAGAGAATGAGGCTGGCGGGCGGGTGCCATGCCGCCGACGCCACGCCCTGAGCCTGCAAACCTGGCGTCGAGGTCCGCTAAGCAGCTGCCAGGTGCCCGCTCCTCTCCTGCAGGTCCTGTCCTGGCCCCAGGTCTTTTTCGAGGCCCACCCAGTCGTGCTGGCCCTGCGCAACCTCTTCCACCAGCTGCAAGGCCAGGAGCGGGCGGCAGTGGGCGCAGCGGCGCTGCCCCGCCCCGCCGCCGTCGACCCCGCCGAGCTGCGCCTGGCGCTGGCCAGCTCCAGCGACCGCACCTTTGGCGTGGGTAGGTGGCTTGGGTAGCTGGAATCCTGCTCGGTTTGGAGTGGGTTGGGTTGGGAGGAGGGGTGCTGGGAGGAGGGTGCCGAGAGGGGAAGGGGCACCGCTATTGGGCCCTGCCTGGTTGCTGCTTGAGCACGTGTCCTCGGTGGTCGCCAGCCTGGCAGCGCTGCCTGCCTGCCTGCAGGCGAGATGAGCGATGCGGCGGAGGTGCTGCTGACGATCTACGAGAGCGTCGGACATGTGGCAAAGGTGGGCGCGGAGCAGGGGAAACACCGGTGCTGGGAAACAGCTTGTATCGAGAGGGCATGACGCTGCACTGCTGGCTGCCTGCTCCGAGCTGCTCATCACTGCTCATCCCTTTGCTGCCCGCCCATTCCCAGCCTCATCCATCTCCACACGCACACCCTGCCTGCGCGCCCACAGGCCCAACAGGTGCCCAACTGCGTGGACGCTCTGGCAGGGCTGGAGGTGGCAGAGGGAGTGTACTGCCCCACATGCAGCCTGACCACCCACTGCAACCAGTTCACTCAACACTTCTACAACACGCAGGTGGGGCTGGTACAGGGAAGGGCCCGCGGTGGCAGCCGGGTGGCCGGGCTGAAACACCAGAGGTGGCTGTATGCCGTCACTTGCTGGATGGCGGGCGTGGCATGGCCAGCCAGGCCGTGGCAGCACGCAAAGCCGAGTTTCTGGCTGGCTGGCCGGAGTGCTTTGCTGAGCGGCACACAGGCCGCGGCGTGCGGATGGTCCTGTGGTGCGTGCAGGCGGCGGCCATGCGGGATGCGCACGCCGCCTCTCTCCAGGAGTGTCGCCTGGGCCGCATGGGCGCCAGCTCCATGGGCAAGCGCCTGCGGGCGGAGCAGGGGCAGCTGAAGACTTGCGATGAGGACAGGGGTGGGTGGGGGTGGTGGGGCAGCCGCCAGGTTGGCCGCCCGGCTTTGGTCTGTGACCAGCGCACTTGTGCTGGCAGGCAGGCAGTGCAGCAGGCATACGCTGCCATGCCGTCGTGCTGCATCCTGCATGCTTGCTGCCCCACCCCATTTTGCCCTCCCGCAGGCGGCTGCGGGCGGCGCTACCCGGTGCACCACGTACTGCGCGCCGCGCCGCGCCTGTTCAGCCTGCAGCTGAGCTGGCTGTCGACGCGGGAGTCGGGGGAGGACATTGCGGCCACGCTGCGTGCGCTGGACGAGCATGTGAGCCTCGGCACTCGCTCCCAGTGGGCACGCGGCCTCCTGACGCAGGCTACAAAGTGAAGCGCCTGTCGGCCACCTGCCTCGGCTGCGGTACAGCGCGAGGCCCGCCCCTCTTCCCCTCAAGCACAAAACCTCGATCCCCTCCCCTGCAGCTGCTGCTGGGCGAGGTGTACGCGGGGCAGGCGGCGGCGGGGCGCCGCTACCGCCTGCGCTGCATGGCCGGCTTCTACGGCCAGCACTATGTCGCGCTCATCCGCCTGCCCGAGCTGGAGGGCCAGTGAGCGGGGCGGGCAGCTACTGCGCTGCTCGGAGTGGCTGCTTCCAGCTGCTTTCGTTGTAGCTTGCCGGTCCATGCCGGTGCCTCCTCATCTCCCCACCACCACCACCGTGCCGGTCGCCCCTCTTGTCATCCCTGCCTGCCAGGTGGGCCCTGTTTGACGACTCCCGGGTCAGCGGCGTGGGCGCCTGGGAGGATGTGGTGCGCAGGTGCGAGGCGGTGCGCATCCAGCCCAGCGTGCTCTTCTACGAGGCGGTGCAGGGCTGAGGGGCGGCAAGCTGCTCAGCAAGAACGCTTCGGCTTCTTTGAGTTGCAGCGCTTACAGTACTCCGCATGCTGCTCCAGTATCCTGTTTCAAACATGTTTCTGCATGTGTACGATTGTTGAATTCATCAGAGGTTTCTCCTGGCGCCCCCGCCTCAGCAGCCGCCGGCTGGCAGCGCAAAGATGCGCCCCATCTCCTCCCCCACCCTGGCCGCAAAGTCGGCTTCGCTCCGCCGCTCCAGCCCTGCAAACTGCTGCAGCTCCTCCAGCACCTTGCTGGCCTCCTGGGCAAATGCACCCGCAGGCTGCGCCGAGAAGGCGTATGCTGCAAGCTGCGGGGAGGCCGCGCCAGGGCTGCCGCCGCTGGTGACCGCAGCTTTCCAACGGCTGGTCACCGCTGGTTGCCCTCCGGCTGCTGCCGCCTGCTGCTGCCATGCTGCTGCGGGGGATGCGGGGTGGGGCAGGGAGGAACCCGCGGGCGAGGCGGCTGCAGCTGCGTCCAGCTGGTATGAAAACGAAGGCGAGGCCGCTGCAGACAGGGACAGGCCGACCACGGCAGCTGGCGAAGCGGTGGGGCTGACCGCCTGCTCAATCTCTGCCAACAGGTCGGCAGCTGGGGAGGCGTGCCTGAGTGTCGAGGAGTCCAGCCGCAGGCGGCTGACCGCCCTGCCGCTACCCGCGCTGCTGCCGCCGGCCACGGCCCCCGCCGCAGCGGGCGGCCTGCGGAACGAGGCTGCCCGCTCTGCTGCAAACCGCCAGCGGTTGGTGGGCGCTGCTGCCAGGCTGGGCGAGGCGGCCTCGCTGCCGAGTGTGGTCACGGCAGACCTGCCCCCGCTAGCCCCGCCACCAGCTGAGAAGTTGGGAGGGGAAGCGGGATCTGTGGGGACCACCCCGCTGCTGCCCCAGCCAGCCGGTGCAGGCACCTCTTCTGTCTGGCTCTGCCGCAGCGCGGCGAGGGCTGCCCGGCCGGGCGTGGCGGCGGGCTGCTGCAGCAGCCGCTCCAGTGACGCTACCAGCTGCAGAAATGGGTGGGCAGACACGGTGCGGATGATCTTGCAGCGTCTCGGTTGTATGTCCGCATTCCACTCATGGTCAGAAGAGCTGAACGCCAGCCACCCCACTCACATCCTTGGCCGACTGCTCTGCCGGGCTGAGTCCAGCGGCAGAAGGGTCGGGTGGGTTGGCCAGCTGCGAGGGCCCTGGTGCCGGCGTTGCCTGTGCCGCCAGCTCCGCCTCCAGCTTGCGCACATAATCAACCTGCCACGGGCGTAATACAACTGCTGTGTGAGCTGCGGCGGTATATGCAGCAAAAGTTGCGGCGGCAGCGGCGGCGGGCCGCTCACCGGCGATGGCATGGGCGACTGCAGTGCCTTGGAGATGTCGCGCAGCAGCTCGCTGCGTTTCACAAGCGTGACAAGGAGTGAGAGGGCGCACGGGTCGTGCCTGCCATCTCCGCTGACCGCTTGACCAACCTCGTCTTGCGCGGATCTGACTTCAATTCTCCGCTGTTGACCGGGTTGTTGGGCGACAGAAGCGACTTGGACGCGCTGCGCAGCCCCGCGGAGTATGGCGTGGTCCAGTTCATTGTGCTTCTACTCTACTTGCACACAGTGTGTGGCTGGCGTACAAAGGAGCGTTGGGAGTATGTCGGAGCTGAATTTGACAATGCTGAATCCGTCCTGCCCGCCGCCCGTACTGCTACCGCCCTTGCCACCGGCGCCCACCATGAAGTGCGAGGGGCACGCCGTCGTTCATACGTCTTTTGCCTTGGCCCGTTAAAATACCAGCAGCTATTCAGTGGCCACATGCTCATGATGATGCTCTCCACAACATGCAGCGGCTGCCACAGCTGCTGGCGAGTGATCCTGCTGCTGGTGCCGCGCCTGCTCAGCCTGTGCCGACCCCGCCCCGTCTGCCGTCGCCTCTGCCGCAGGCGCCTGCTGCACGGCTGCCGCTGCAGCGGCGCCCCGCTTGCGTCCCAGCTGCAGGAACTTGTTGAGCAGCAGCGGGGGCATGTCGCCGCCCAGCCCCTGCTGCAGCATCGCCAACTCCAGAAACTCAAAGTCGCTGCACGGGCAATGACAGGGAGGGAGGGCACAAAGGGGGCAGGGCCAAGGTCGGGCAGAGGGGCAAGCAGCGTGGTGCTCGGCGCTGCGCTGTAACCTGCACCGCCACTGCACTGGATCAAGCAGCCCAACGCAGCCAGGCCAGCCCACCTCAAGCTGGCCAGGCACTGGCGGCGCAGGAAGGTCGCCACTCTAGCGGCGCCCGCCTCGCCCTTGGTGTGCAGGAACACCTCCTCCACCAGACTGAGCACTGCGGGGAAGAGAGGTCGGGGGAAGCAGGGTCGGAGGGCAGTCAGCATGCATCGCCCAATCTTTCGCTGTCTTTGGCAGACGAGCAGAAGCAGCTGCATGTTTTCTGCGCGACACTACCAAGCCCCACGCCTGCTCACCCTCCGGTGGCAGCTCGGGGCTGGTGTCGGCAGGCTGCTGCTGCTCCTGCTGCTGCGGCGACAGCGGCGGCAGCAGCTGCTCCCAGATGCGCATGCCCGCAGTGCCCTCTGCTGTCAGCATCGCCGGCGGCGGCGCTATCATGCCGCCCGCCTGCCGCGCCTGCTGCGCTGCCCCCAGCGCCGCCACCAGCGCCGTCAGGCTGGCCGGCGACTGCAGCAGCAGCTGGTCGGGCAGGGCGCCGCCTGCCGCTACTGCAGCCGCCGCCAACGCGGCTGCGGCTGTGCCTTGCGAGTTGCCACCCAGAGTGGGCGCGCTGCAGCATTCGCTGGTGCAGTCCTCGTGCGGGTGGCTGCAATGGTGCCGGTGCGGCGGGTGCGGCAGCGCTTGCGGCGGGGGCGGCATGGGCGGCAGCCGGCTCTGCTGGCTCAGGTGCCCGCTGGTGCGCGCCGGCTGGTGGCTGTGCGCCGGCGTCACCTGCTGCGTGTGCTGCTGCATCTGCTCCAGCTGCTGCCGGATGTCGGCAGGCAGGCGGCGGGCGTGGGGCGCGCTGCTGCGAGACGGCTGCTGCCGCCGCGGGCGCTGCACCTCCTGGCCCGCCGCCCCGGAGGCAGACGGCGCCGCGGTGGCTGCCGACGCAGTGCCGTCTGCGGTGGATGCCGGCTGCTGCGCCGCTGCCGAGGCGTCCTGCCAGCCCAGCTCCGCCAGCTCCTCCTGCCGCTTCCGGGTGCGGACTGCAGAGAGGCGGGCAGGGAGATGGGTGGTTGGCGGGCAGGCAACCCAAGCATGCATGCAGCTACGGGAGGATCCACGTGCGCTGTCGCACCCAACAAGGCCGCCCCCGCCCACCTCGAAACGCGCCCCGTGACTCCTCATCTCCCTCCACCCACTTGCCCGCCCCCGGACACCTGCAGGGCGCAAGCACACCAGCGTGCATATGCTCACCGCTCAGCTGCGGCAGGCTGAAGCACGCATGAAAGCAGCCGGCGGGCTGGCCGCGGCTGGGCGCCTGCCCCGGCATGCAAGCCCAGCCACCCCAGCGCACGCACTTGCAGGCGCAGATGGGGCAGGAGTGGAGGCGCTGGCACAGCTCGAACGCGGCCTCGGCATCGGCAGCCAGCTGCATCACATCGGGCCGCTGCTTGCACTCGGGGCAGTTCCTGCATGGCGGTCAGGCAGCGGCAGAGCAAGCAGGGAGCGGTGGCGGGTGAGCGGGAAGCTTGAGGGAACGCCGCGGCCGACCAAACAGGCTGGCCTGGTCACCCAGCCAGCCGCGGCCCATCCAGCCCAGAGCGGCGTGCCTGCAGGGCGGCGTCTTCTTGCGGCACTGGCAGCGGCGCAGGTGCAGGCGGTTGCCGGCGGCGTCCAGGCGGCTCGACAGGCCGTCTCGCACTGCACGGCAGGGAGGGAGCGCCTAGGGGCTTGGAGGGGTCTGCATGGCTGGTGTGAGGCGATGAGCCGATCAGTGTGGGGAACACCCACCCAACCCACCCAACCAAAACCAGCCGCACCTGTGTAGCTGTGGCAGCAGTAGGGACACTCCTCAGGCGGGGCGCCCCGCTTGCGCTTGGTGCCCTGCGGCGCCGGCGGCGCGAGCAGCCGCTCCTCCACCGCCAGCGCCCCGCCGCCCCCGCTGGCCCCTCCTTCGCCTCCTGCTGCCATCGGCGGGGACGCGCCGCCGCTGCCCAGGCCGCCGCCGGCCACCCGCCGCCGCTGCAGCTCCTTGGCAAGCAGCTCCGCCAGCGCCTGCAGGCGGTACAGGTCTTCTCGTGCCTCCCGCAGCGCCTCGTGCGCCTGCAGGGGGGCGGCACGCGTGGGCTGGGCGGCAGCTTGCGACGAACCGGAGCGGCAGCCCGTCGTCGGCACCTCCATGCATGGGCATGCCTGCAGACAGCTGCGCCCCGTCGCCGCCCCTGCCGCTCGGCAGGCTGGACAGGCGGCCCTGCTCACCGCCTGCGCCGTCGCCACCTTGGCGTGCCACGCCGCCGACTTGGCCTCGCTTTTCTGGTCGGCACGGAAGGCGTCGCGGGCGGTTGCGCGTTGCGCGTCCGCCTGCAACGAAGAAGGCAAGCAGGTTGGCATAGCAGGGGGATGACTAGAGGCAGGCAGCAGGGGAGCCATGCTGCTGCACCAAAGACTAAGAGTGCAAGCTCACCGCCTGGTGCACGCCGCGGGCTGCCAGGAATGCCGCGTCTGCCGCCGCCAGCTGGTCGTGCACGTCGGCGGCCCACTCGGCCAGGGCGCTGTCGGGTTCCCCAGCCAGGCGGGCGCCGTGCTCCTCTGCCACCCTCGCCATGACCGCCGTCTTGGTCAGGCTGCCGCCGACGCCGACGCCGGTCGTAGTGCCGACAGTGCCCTCTGGGCTGCCCCCTCTGCTGCCACCGCGTGCATGCTGCGTTCGCCTCCTCTGTCTGCCTCCCCAGCCGGTGGCTGGCTGCTCGCTGCTGCCCTCGCTGCCCGCTGGGCTGCTGGCCGCTGCGGCGGCCAGGACATCCAGGTGCTCCATGTGCAGGTTGCCAGAAATTGGCTGCGCCGAGTGAATTAGAAGCGCATGGCCATGTCAGGGAGACACGCGTGGTCGCCCACCCGACGGACAAGAGCCAGACTACAGGCTGAGGGTAGCGCCAGATATGCCTCGTAACAGAAGATGGAGTAGCAGACTCGACATGCTGTGCTGTGGCATCACGCTGCCCGCCACTAGCCGCCGCCACGCCAGCCGCAAGCTGCACTGGCCACGATGATTACATGAACATTGTGGTCAGGCATCCCACATTCATGTGCAGAATGTGCAGAAGCGCAACAGCATGATGCACACATTCTCTGCAGCAAACAAGGCATCCGCAAGCTCCCGCCGCCAGCTTAGGTGCCCATGGCGGGCGGCCGCTTGTTCTTTCCAATCTCCGCCAGGTCCACCGGCTTGAGCAGCTCCGCCAGCTTCTCCGCCTTCTTGCGGTCGCCCGTCTTGTAGGCCAGCTCCATCTGGGAGCGCAGCAGCTGCTGCTCCCGCATGTCCTTCGCCTTGTCCGTGGTGCGCAGCTCGTCGTACGCCTGCAAAAGTGGCGGGCAGGGAGGGAGTTCAGAGGCAAGGACACGTGGGCAGGGTTGCGCAAGCAGGCTCTATCTGTCCAGGACAGGGTGGCAGGGAGGGGGGCAAGATGTGGGCTGACATGGGGGGCTGCCTGGCCCTGTGCAGAGGGCAGAGATGCCGCCCACGCAGCGCACACATCTTCACACAAGCCAAACAAACTCCCACCTTCTTCATCTTCTCCGCCGCCATGCGCTTCCGCTCCGCCGCCAGCTCGCGCTGCCGCTCCTTCTCATCCTCAAAGGCCGTGCGCTCCACCGCCTGCGGTGGGATGCGTGTGTATCAGTGTGTAGCTGCGGGCCAGGCCTTGAGCGCCAGTGGTCCCAGGCACGCAGGCGGCCAAGCACAACCCCCTGGTGTCCAGCTGGCCATGCAAGCAGCCTCGGCAGTCGCGGGCGCGCAAGCGTGGTGGCGGCGCTGCTCACCCCCCCGGCAGGTAAGCCCTTGCGCGCCGCCTTGGCCGCCTGCTGCTTCTCGTACATCTCAAGGTCGTAGTACTTCCTGCGGGCGGTACAGCGCAGCATGGCCAGCAGGTTGACAGGGCAGGAGCTGGCAGCAGCACCGAGGAACGCCCGCCAACGCCAGCCAGGCAGCTGGGCGACGCCGCACAGCACGCGGGATGCTCGAGGCGGCACCGATGCCAGGCCGCGCTGCACGCCTGCAGGCGGTGGCCACTCGTGCAGCCAGGGCCCACCTGTGGGGCAGCGTGGCCGTGTTGAACTCCTCCATGTAATCCTTGAACATCTCCTTCTCCTCACTGCGCGGCATCGCCTCGATGTCGATGTTCTTGACCTTAGGAGAAGAGGAAGGGAGGGAGGCGGGCGAGGCGGGCAAGGGGTCAGGGAGGGGGGGTGCACAGTGTTGCTGGGCACGAGGGCCGCAGGGTGGCAGTGGGCCACACCCCAACAGCAGGAGGAACAAGGGAGCAGCAGGAGGAACAAGGGAGCCACTACAGCCTCCACATTTGCGACCCAGGGTGGCCCCACCCATGATGCTGCTGCAGTGCCACAGCGCCACAGGCTCACGTGCCCCTAACCCACCTCCATGGCCCAGAGCTGGAACTCAGGGCGCTTGGTGTACATGTCGGTCTCGCGGATCAAGCCGTACTTTCCATATTCGTGGCCAATGGCACCCTGCAAGGCAGCGGGGCAGGGAGGGTGGGCAAGGTGAGGCAAGGTGGGTACAAGGGGAGCGATCAGGGGAAGAACAAGCCTGCTGAGTCCAGCACAAAGCAGCTGCTGGGCGGCTAGCAACCACCATGGCGCACCCGCCAGGCCAGCAATGGCTGCATGACAAGGCAGACCCAGCGCAGCTGCAAAAACAAAACTCACCCTGGTGGCCTGCTTGGCGCGCGCCTTGTCCTTGCTTCCCCGCTTCTCCTTCTTCTCCTTCTTGCTCCGCTTCTCCTTTTTCCGCTTCTTGTCCTTGCTGCTGCGCTTCTCTTTCTTGCTGCGCTTGGACGAGCGCTCCCTGCTGCGGCTGCGCCGCCGCTTGCTGCCACTCTTGCGCCGGCTGCGCTCGTCCTCGCTGCCGCTGCTGCTGCTCTCCGACTCGCTGCCGCTGCCCGATTCGCTGCCACTGCTGCTGCCGCTGTCCGAGCCGCTGCCCGCGCCGTCCTCATCCCGCTGCCGCTTGCCGCCCTCCTTATGCTCCTTGCGCCGCTTCTCCGGCTTGCCGCTCTGAAGCGCCAGCTGGTGCCGCCGCCGCTCCTTGTGCAGCTTGGACAGCTCATCCACCTTGGCCACCTGTGAGGGAGGTGGGAGCACGAGGCAGCAGCAGTGCATGTGTTTGTGTGCTTGATGCGCAGTCCAGAGGGCAGGCAGTAGAGTGATCACGAGCTGCTGCTGGCGCTCGGCTGGTGCTGGTTGGGATCGAACGCGGCAGCTGCGCCTGCGCCAGCAAGCTGGCCCCGGCTGTTGCGCGCAGCGCCAGCGACCTCCACAGCGTCAGGCACGCCCGCCATAGAGGCCCCGCCTACCTGGAAGCGGCGCAGCATCGTCAGCGCGCGCTCCTCGTCCCAGTTGCACTCCTGCAGCGCCGCCGCACGCACTGTGGGCCCCAGCGCGGGCAGCAGCAGGTGCAGGCGCTCCATGGCGCGCGCCTCCTTCTCCTTCTGCTGCTTCTCCAGGTGCTTGGCCACCTGCGGGCGAGCGAGCGTGGCGTGGCGTGGGCTTGTTTAGAGCAGGGAGCAGGCAGGGAGGGCAGGTACAGGTTGGGCAGAGGGTGGCAAGCACAAAATACGAACAATGATAAAGGATCTGATCGAGTTTTTATAAGACGGCAAGGGCAGGACCCGGCGCGACGCCGCCCGCCACCCGGCGCCGCTACTGCCACCCACCATGGACAGGCCACGGTTGTCCGGCACATTCGGGCCTCCTCTGGTGTACAGCTGCTCCGTCGAGGGAGTGGCATCGGCTGCTGTGGCCGCCATCGCGCCTGGCCCCCGCCCCAATTCGCTCGGCTCCCGTTGATCGGCTGCTCACTCCGGCTCCCAGCTGCTACTCAGGTCCGACGGAAGCGCTGCGAGACTCCTGAGTCTCGCTGCAGGGAGACTTGGACGATGCGCTGTGTCGCGCAGTGGCACGGCTCCTGTGAGTTATTGAAGTGTATTGCGAGCCTGCCCAGACGCCTTCGGGCAATTCCAGAGGGTGTACCTCCTCTGCCTCCTGTACTGTTTCTCACTCGAAGAACAAGAACCAGGCCCAGAACCGCATTCCACCCCGCCCTGCAACCCTAAACCTTCCACCCGTGCATGCACACGATGGGGGTGCCGCCAGAAGTGCAGCAGGTTTTGGACTCGCACGCCTCGCACTTTACGTTAACAGCGGAGGGCAAAGTCAAGTGCGAGCTCAACGGCCATACGTTTCCGCCCAAGGCTGACGCCCTGAATGCCTTCATCAAGTGAGCCGTTGCCAATGCATGCAGCGGCAGCTGCCGCCAGCGCGGGTGCCGCCTGCAGAGCTGTTGGGTCCTGGTGCATGCCTTGCACAAGCCGGGGACAGCGATGCTGCAGCATGGTGGTAGGCACGTTGATGCTGCGTGGCGACGACATCCAGCGCCTGTGCCTGGTCACCTGCCGGGCTGGTCACCCTCAGAACGACGTCAAACTGTCTCCCCATCACCGCCGCAGCGGCAAGAAGTATGCCAAGCTGGTCAAAGCGGCAAAGCTGGATGCGGGGCTGTCAAAGTACGAGCCCTTCATCGTGCGCTCCAAAAACCTGGAGGGCATGCTGTTCTGCGCGCTCACCGGCGAGCTGCTCAATGCGCGGCTGGAGGAGGTGAAGCAGCACCTCAAGGGCAAGAAGTTTGGGCGGGCCAAGGGTGAGCAGCAGCGGGGCCGACGGGGGTGGCAACCTTGCTAGGGTCTCCGCCACGTCTTACCACATTGCTGCTGCCCTGTGTGCAAAACCGCTTCACTCGCCGATGTGTGCTGGGCTTTCCCCGCCCCTGCTACTTCACTTGACAATCGCCGCCCTGCTGCTGCCGCAGAGCGCTTTGAGGCAGACCAGCAGGAGCTGATGGAGGAGCCGGATGTGGCGGGGGGCAGCGACATGGTGAGGGCGCATGCATGGAGGCGCCTTGTGCTGCACTTCGCTAGTTCAACCCCTTGCTGCTGCTGATGTGTGGCCGCAGCTTCTGACGCCTACGTGTCAACCTGCTGATTCCTGGCGCCGCCGCTGCTGCAGGAGGAGGATGGGCCGGAGGGCAGCGATGGGCCGGGGGTGTGGTTGCCCGAGGAGGTGCTGCAGGAGTATGAGATGGGGGAGGGTGAGGAGGGAGAGGGGCCAATGGTGGCAAATGGAGAAGCAGTTGCTGCAGCGGCAGAGGCGGAGGCGAATGTGGAGGAAGAGCAGGAGGCACCTCGCAGGAACGGCAAGCCTGGCAGCAGCAGAGCCAAGGGCAAAGGCGCCGCCAAGCCGCAGCAGGAGCAGCAGGGCAAGGAGGGCGGCAAGCAGAAGCAGCAGCCTGCTGGCAAGAAGGGCAAGCAGCAGCCGCCAAAGCAGGCCAAGGTGGCAGCAGCGGCAGCGGCAAATGGCGCAGGGGGCAAGAGCAAACCGCCCAAGGCCAAAAAAGCGCGCATGAACTAGGGTGGTGGTGGTTGTATGACAGGGTGTGGCTTGGGGGCGCGCGTGGGCCCTTCATTTTGTAATGAGCTTGATCTTACAATGTCCATATGCCGACATGAGAGGGCCGTGGTTCGAAAGGCACGCCATGATGCGTGTGATGAATCAAGGTGAATCAATAAATGTCGCTGCCTGTATGGGGCGGCGCTCTCCTGATTTAAGCAGCCACAATGCTGCTCAGCTCCACACGCACCAACAGCCTGTCGCCCGCCAAGTACCGGCGGTCGGTGCGCCGTAGCTGCGCCAGCTCAATAAACCGAGTATACCCCCAATTATTATGCTCAGTCGAGAACGACACTGCCCGCCCTAAATGGACATGATTCTCTCCAGCCGGCGCCTGGTCGATCACCGTGAATAGATATGCTGCAGTTGCGCTAACCACCCCGGGTTGGGTGAAATTTAAGTTCAATCCGACTGCAACATCCCAAGAACGAGGAAGTTGAGTGAATTTACTCACCCTGGTGAGTGAAAGTCAATGCAATGGCATAGCATAGGAACGGCGAACCAGCTGGGCTCACATGATCAAAGCAGCTCACCTGACAGGTGTGTGCCCTTGCCATTGCCGCCGCCGCGAGGGCAGACTATCAGCCTCCATGCTTGACCTCCAATCTCAACTGGGGGCGAGAGGACTGTGACCTCGCCAAGCTGTGAGTATCGATCAATGGCAAAAGTGAACCCTCCAGACTTGCTGGTGCTGCAGCACCGCACATCAAGAATGGGCAGCGGGTAGGCTGCGCCGTAGTGGGACTTGAGCAGCAGGCGTGCTGCTGCGGGACCCAACAGGCCGGCCAGCGCCTGCTCATCCACCAAAACAATGTTCATCACAGCCGCGACTGCCAGTTTGGATGCCATAAAATCCAGGAAGCGTTCCTCCAGGTGGTTCAGCTGGCAGTGCTGCACCAGGTGCACTGTGGACACGAGCTCAGGCATGCCCGCAAAGATGAGGGTGCCTGCATGAGACGAGGACGTGGCCATGAGAAGCAGCCCATGCAGCAGAGACAATGTTGTGCGGCAGGAGACTGCCATGGAGCAACAGCAGGGCCGAGCACACTCGCCTCCCAGGTAGGCAGCAACCTTGTCCAGCAGCTGTGCGGCATCCAGCTTGTGGGCCAGGCCTGCGACTGTGGCAAGTACACCGCTATCTGCCAGCAATGCCAGGTTGGTCGGGTGAGCGTCATCAGGAGAGTACATCAGCCTCAGGAAGCAGACAGTCGCACGCAGGCTGGCACCCTGAAAGGCGACCGACAGGTCAGGCTCCTGCAGCAGGCAGCAAAGGGACTCGTTAGGTGAGGGCATTCCGGCAAATTTACTTCCGTCACCGACCTGGCTGAGGTTGCCGCCGCTTTCCTTCTGTGCCAAGAAAAGCTCCCGCACCACACTGCACTGTACGCTGAGCAGCTGGCTGTGCAGCAGCAGGCGAGCGCCTTCTACTATTGCAAAGCAATCCGCCAGCGCTTCCATGCCTGGCGCTGTCAGGTAGAAGCTGTGAGGCTGTGCTGCGTCCAGGAATGCCAGGTTGATGCACGGTGGATTGGTTGTGGCAGCAGGGCTTGTTGGCATGAGGGCGGGCAGCGTCAAGCCCGCAAGCAGCTCCAGCGTGTTGCTGCCATGAGCCGCTCGGTGCTCCCGCTCCTGCGGCGGTCTGCTAGGTTCGCCATCCATGGTGCCTGCACGAGCTGAGGTTGCTCTGCCAGTTCAGAGGGGCGAGGAGGAGGAGTATGCACGGTGTGAGCACACCACTCAAGGCAGGCAGGCAGCAGGCAGGCAGGCAGCTCTCTGGCAAAGGATTCTATCGAAACACCGTAATGTTATCGTCTTCTCGTAAAGAGGCCGCGTGAGAAAGAGGCCGCGAGCGTGGTTAGGTGCTTTCCAAGAGGCTTTCCAATGATTGGGGTGCCTCGCCGCCTCCCTGTACACATGTGTTGACAGCACTTGTCCATTTGTCCAGCCAAGGCTGCGGGTCCTGCCTCGCTTCAAGGAAGTGTGCTGCTCCTTGAGAGAGAGGTCGGCACTGCCGCTCCAGCCCGGGGGGCAAGCCACAAGGTGATGCAATGAGAGAGATGGGCAACAAGTTGTCTGCCCCCTGCCTGCCTGCTGCACCCGGCATCGCCATACGCACCGCCGCCCTGAGGTGGACGGATTGACGGGGCGCGCTCCGCGTGCCCACCTCTGGGCGCCATCCCTGCCTCTGCCTCTAGGTGTAACCGTGCTTGCAGGGCAGTGATGCCGCGGTGCCGCCTCTGCTTTGGCCGTGCGGGGCGCAGCGCAGGCCATCAGCTCTTCTCGCCCTGCGGTTGCCGCGGCAGCATGGCGCACATCCACAAGGAGTGCCTGTCGGCCTGGCGGCGGCGCAGCACCAACCCCACGCGCTGCGAGATCTGCGGCCAGGCCTACCAGACTGGGAGGCGCCGGCAGCGGCTGGGGCGGCAGGCGCGAGGCCGGCAGCACGGGCGGGGCAGGCAGCAGGCGCAGCAGCCACGGCGCCGCCCACAGCAGCCGGTGCCGCTGCAGGCACGATGGGGGGCAGCAGTAGCGGCAGCAGTGGCGGAGGCTGCAACGTGTTGGGCGCGCACAGCGGCTGCCTGTTTCAATTTCTTTTCGCCGCCTGGTTGACTTGTTGTCCGCTTGCCGGGGTGAGGCGCTGGTGTTGATCCCCCTCCGCTCATGTACTCATAATCCCTTCAACAGGCCTGCCTAATGATTCACCCTGGAAGCCTTGGGTCAACAACAAATCTTTGCTGTGAATTACACAGGGCCCAGTGGACGCCAACCAAAGGAAGGCAGCAGGCCTCCAGAGGCGCTGCCAGCCGGGCGCGTCCACCAGGGCACCTGCGCGAGCTGACTCCTCGCGGCCAGCCGTGCGTGCATCACGCCAGGGCTGCCGCTCCTCAGCTGCTGCTGCTGCTGCTGCGCTTCCCCTCACTTCCTGCAGCAGGGAAGGCCAGGCGGGTGTGGTCAGCGACTCGCCGTGAGGTCAGCAGCGCTGCGGCGGAGGCCAACAAGCACGTGCCAACAGCAGTTGCGCTGCCAAAAAAGCCACCGCATCTCGGCCAGCCTGCTGGTCAACAGCCGCCAACAACAGACAGCAGCACCCGAACAAACAACAGCGGCACGCGGCACGCACTGGGGGGGGCGGGGGCCGAAGCCGGGGCGCTTGGGCGGCTCGCGGTTGCGACGGTCCTTGACCGACCGCACGCGCACAATCTTGGAGTGGATGGCGGCAGACACGCAGTAGTAGACCTTGCGGTAGATCTTGGGCAGCGCGTAGCCTGCACATGGACGTGGACGTGGTGCGGCCACACAAGGTGAGGGTGAGGTGTGGAGCGGCAGGGGAGAGGAGCGAGTGGGCAGCAGTGCGAACAGAGGAGTGGAGAGGAGGACGGCAAGGGTGGGAGGCATGGTCGCGTGATGAAGCCGCTGGCCAAAGGCCTTGGCGCCTGCGCCTGCTGCGGCTGGGAGCTGCAAAGCCGAGCCAAGCTGCGCCGCCGCTGCTGCTGGTGCGTGCCGACTGCGCACATAGTCACACGCGCCAGTGCAGCGCCAGCAATACAGCCGTGCCTGCTGCAGGGGCTGGCTGTGGTGCTGCGATGGCCGCTCTGCAGATACTGAAGCCAACATCTGCTGCATCGTTCATTGTGGGCCGAGCTGGGGAATGGCCGCATCCAGTGCGATCGCTAGAGCCGACCCTGCGTGCTTGCTGTCTCAGCAAACTGCTGCCGCAAGTCTGATTCTGCTGCTCCTGCCGCTGCTGCCAAACTCTCCCATCTGCGCTGCCCTGCCAGCCACTGTGCCCATGCCGCTCGGTGCGCTGGCCCCCTCCACATCATCCACCAGTGTCCCCGGCCACCGCACGAACCCGCCCTCCACAGCAGCCCCGCCCCATTGCCCAGCCCGGCGGCTGCGAACGAGAAACACCGCCCCAACCCATGCTGCTGCCAGCATGGCCGCTGCCCAGCGCCCGGCGCACCAGGCATGCGGCGCCGAGGCTGCAGTCACTCACCGTCAATGGCGCACGCGTCCTGCAGGTCGCGGATGGCCGAGGCGTCCACCATGTTGCGCACGATGAAGCGCTTGATGGCCTTGTCCTTGGGCACCATGGCGGCGGACGACTCGCAGCGCACGCGCTTCACGTGGCCTGCACGCACGCGCCGCACGTCACGACGCGGCGGCGGCAGCAGCACGTCAGCACATGGCAGCGACCGGCAGGGTGCAGGAACACGTGCATCGGCGCTGCTGCTGCCTGCCGCGGCGGATGACCCCAGCAGCAGCTCATGTGCAGCGCTGCGCTGCCTGCCACGTTCCCCCATGTGCAGTCCCCAAGCTTTGGCCGGCACGCACCGCGGCCGTGCTTGTTGCGTCCTCCATTGCGCCGCTTCTTGGTCATGTTTGCAGACCCCTGCACACAGCACACCAGCTCCGCCCCGGTAAGCTTGCTATGCTTCTGCTGTCTCCCAGCAGGCGTGCGGCGGTGGGCCGAGGCGGGGCAGTGGCCGCCCCAGTGGCGGCAGCCGGATCCCTCTCTCTGCTTGCTGCCTGCGGCGGGCGCCCCGGTCGCACCACCAGAGCCTGGCTGAGGAACAGCAGGCTGCCCAGGGCCCGGACGAAGAGCGGCATGGCTGGGCAGTGGCGCAGCATGCCACCTGCTGCACCGGCAGCCCTGCGGCTGCTCTTCTATCGCCCTGGAATGGCCGCAGTGCAGCCCAGCAAGCGGCAGGGCAGCCCAGCGCGAGGGCGGCCAGCGTGATGGTGCGGCAGACAGCCGCATGCCTGAGCAGCATGTGCGCACCTTTACCGTCCCAAGGAGGTCCCTGCACGCAAAGAGGGCGATGCGGGGCCGCCCACAGGTTTTGACACCCCTGTCCGACCCTGGAGGCGCCTTGCATGCGGGCGGGCGCTTGCTGGCGCGCTGCAGCCAGCCGGCGAGTGATTGATCACACCCAGGGCACCTGCCTCCCGCTTTGGTGGGGTCTGCCAGACCGGGCCGTGCACCCCTTCCTGTCGGCACTTTTGGCGGAGGTCCCACCCAGTCGCGGGCTCCCCGCTATGCAGCAAACAGCCCTGATGGCGCCCTGCTGCCCGATGGCCAGGCCAGTCGCCCCAGCAGCGGGCCCCAGCCAGCGGGGGCGCCCTGCCGCCAGCCGGGCGGCGCTCGAGCACCAGGCGCCGGCGCCGCGGGCGACACGCTCCCGCGCAGCAGCAGCAGCGGCAGCTGCAGCAGCGCCGACGCGCGCAGCGAGCATAGATGTGAGCAGCTTGGGCGCGCGCGACCTGCGCGGCACAGTGGTGGTGACGGGAGCGGGCCCCGCAGGCCTGGCGGCGGCGCTCGCGCTACACAAGGCGGGTCTGCCGGTGGTGGTGCTGGAGCGGGAGGCGCAGCTGAGCGCCGCGGGCACCGCCCTGGGCCTGTGGACCAACGCGTGGCGTGCCCTGGATGCACTCGGGGTGGGGGACGCGCTGCGGCAGCAGCATCCAGAGGTGCAGGAGTGAGTAGCTTCTGTCATGAGGGGGGAGGTAGCCACTAGAGGTGGCTGGCCGGCAGGGAGCCTGCTGTGCTGAACAGAGCAGCAAGCCAGGGGGCATGAACAGGCAGCAG